AATAAAAACAAACCGCAGGAACCGAATCGAAATTTTATGGGAACCGAACCGAAAATCATAGTTATATTTGAATTTGATATGTAAAATTGTATGAGAACAATTATTTATCTATATATTTTCTTATTCCTTCCTTTCCTTCTTTCCCGGGGTTACGGATAACTAGCACTACCGAACAGCTTTGGCCTCGAAATCTCTCTACTTTAATGGAAAGATTAAGCAAATATTGTAATCCCCAATACCCATATAGTAGACTCAACAGTACGATCCCGCAACCCCCCTAGAGATACTTTTGGGTGCAAACATTGCTTTCCGGGGGTTGCAAGAAATGAGTACAGCTGACCAGCCTTGGCCTCGAAATTCTCTGTTACAATGGAAAGATGGAGCAAATATTGAATTCTTTTTACCTATGTAGTATACTCAACAGTACGATCCCGCAACCCCCCTAGAGACACTTTTAGGGCAAACATTGCTTTCCGGGGGTTGCGGAAAATAAGTACAGCCGAACAGCTTTGGCCTCGAAATTCTCTGTTATAATAAAAAAATTAAGCAAATACTATAATCCCCAATACCCATGTAGTATACTCAACAGTACGATCCCGGAACCCCCCTAGAGACACTTTAGTGGCAAACATTGCTTTCCGGGGGTTGCGGAAAATGAGTACAGCCGAACAGCTTTGGCTTCGAAATTCTTTGTTACAATGGAAAAATTGAGCAAATATTGTAATCCCCTATACCTATATAGTATACTCAACAGTACGATTCCGCAACCCCCCTAGAGACACTTTTGGGGGCAAACATTGCTTTCCCGGGGTTGCGGAAAATAAGTACAGCCGAACAGCTTTGGCCTCGAAATTTTTTGTTATAATGGAAAAATTGAGCAAATATTGTAATCCCCAATACCCATGTAGTATACTCAACAGTACGATCCCGCAACCCCCCTGGAGACACTTTTGGGCGCAAACATTGCTTTCCGGGGGTTGCGGGAAAGGAATACAGCTGACCAGCCTTGGCCTCGAAATTCTCTGTTATAATGAAAAGATGGAGCAAATATTAAATTCTCTTTACCTATGTAGTATATTCAACAGTACGATCCCGCAACCCCCCTAGAGATACTTTTGGGGCAAACATTGCTTTCCGGGGGTTGCGGAAAATAAGTACAGCCGAACAGCTTTGGCCTCGAAATTCTCTGTTGCAATGGAAAGATTGAGCAAATACTAAATCCCCAATACCCATGTAATATACTCAACCGTACGATCCCGCAACCCCCCTAGAGACACTTTTGGGGGCAAACATTGCTTTCCGGGGGTTGCGGGAAATAAGTACAGCCGAACAGCTTTGGCTTCAAATTTTCTGTTATAATAGAAAGATTGAGCAAATACTGTAATCCCCAATACCCATGTAGTATACTCAACAGTACGATCCCGCAACCCCCCTAGACACACTTTTGGGAGCACAGAAATGAGTACAGCTGACCAGCCTTGGCCTCGAAATTCTCTGTTGCAATGGAAAGATTGACAAATACAAAATTCTCTTTACCTATGTAGTATACTCAACCGTACGATCCCGCAACCCCCCTAGAGATACTTTTGGGGGCAAACATTGCTTTCCCGGGGTTGCGGGAAATGAGTACAGCTGACCAGCTTTGGCCTCGAAATTCTCTGTTGCAATGGAAGGATTGAGCAAATACTGAATTCTCTTTACCTATATAGTATACTCAAGAGTACGATCCCGCAACCCCCCTAGAGACACTTTTAGGGGCAAACATTGCTTTCCGGGGGTTGCGAAATGAGTACAGCCGAACAGCTTTGGCCTCAAATTTTCTTTTGTAATGGAAAGATTGAGCAAATACTGTAATCCCCAATACCCATGTAGTATACTCAACAATACGATCCCGGAACCCCCCTGGAGACACTTTTGGGGGCACACATTGCTTTCCGGGGGTTGCGGGAAATGAGTATAGCCGAACAGCTTTGCCCTCGAAATTCCCTGTTGCAATGGAAAGATTGAGCAAATACTGTAATTCTCTTTATCCATGTAGTATACTCACCAGTACGATCCCGCAACCCCCCTAGAGACACTTTTGGGAGCAAACATTGCTTTCCGGGGGTTGCGGAAAATGAGAACAGCCGAACAGCTTTGGCCTCAAATTTTCTGTTGTAATGGAAAGATTGAGCAAATACTGTAATTCCTTTTACCCATGTAGTCTACTCAACAGTACGATCCCGCAACCCCCCTGGAGACACGTTTGGGGGCAAACATTGCTTTCCGGGGGTTGCGGGAAATGAGTACAGCTGACCAGCCTTGGCCTCGAAATTTTCTGTTGTAATGGGAAGATTGAGCAAATACTGTAATCCCCAATACCCCTGTAGTATACTCAACAGTACGATCCCGCAACCCCCCTAGAGACACTTTTGGGGGCAAACATTGCTTTCCGGGGGTTGCGGGACATGAGTACAGCCGAACAGCTTTGGCCTCGAAATTCTCTAAACATTGAAGAAATACTGTAATCCCCTATACCCATGTAGTATACTCAACAGTACGATCCCGCAACCCCCCTAGAGACACTTTTGGGAGCAAACATTGCTTTCCGGGGGTTGCGGGATCGTACTGTTGAGTATACTACATGGGTATAGGGGATTACAGTATTTGCTCAATCTTTCCATTACAACAGAGAATTTCGAGGCCAAAGCTGTTCGGCTGTACTCATTTTCCGCAACCCCCGGAAAGCAATGTTTGCCCCCAAAAGTGTCTCTAGGGGGGTTGCGGGATCGTACTGTTGACTATACTACATAGGTAAAGAGAATTCAGTATTTGCTCAATCTTTCCATTGCAACAGAGAATTTCGAGGCCAAGGCTGGTCAGCTGTATTCCTTTCCCGCAACCCCCGGAAACCAATCTTTGCTCCCAAAAGTGTCTCTAGGGGGATTGCGGGATCGTACTGTTGAGTATACTACATGGGTATTGGGGATTACAGTATTTGCTCAATCTTTCCATTGCAACAGAGATTTTCGAGACCAAAGCTGTTCGGGTGTACTCATTTTCTGCAACCCCCGGAAAGCAATGTGTGCTCCCAAAAGTGTCTCTAGGGGGGTTGCGGGATCGTACTGTTGAGTATACTACATGGGTATTGGGGGTTACAGTATTTGCTCAATCTTTCCATTACAACAGAGAATTTCGAGGCCAAACTTGTTCGGCTGTACTCATTTTTCGCAACCCCCGGAAAGCAATGTTTGCCCCCAAAAGTGTCTCTAGGGGGGTTGCGGGATCGTACTGTTGAGTATACTACATAGGTAAAGAGAATTCAGTATTTGCTCAATCTTTTCATTGCAACAGAGAATTTTGAGTATACTACATGGGTATTGGGGATTACGGCATTTGCTTAATCTTTCCATTGCAACAGAGAATTTCGAGGCCAAAGCTGTTCGGCTGTACTCATTTTCCGCAACCCCCGGAAAGCAATGTTTGCTCCCAAAAGTGTCTCTAGAGGGGTTGCGGGATCGTACGGTTGAGTATATTACATAGGTAAATGGAATTACAGTATTTGCTCAATCTTTCCATTGCAACAGAGAATTTCGAGGCCAAAGCTGGTCAGCTGTACTCATTTCTCGCAACCCCCGGAAAGCAATGTTTGCCCCCAAAAGTGTCTCCAGGGGGGTTGCGGGATCGTACTGTTGAGTATACTAGATGGGTATTGGGGATTACAGTATTTGCTCAATCTTTCCATTACAACAGAGAATGTCGAGGCCAAAGCTGTTCGGCTGTACTCATTTTCCGCAACCCCCGGAAAGCAATGTTTGCCCCCAAAAGTGTCTCCAGGGGGGTTGCGGGATCGTACCGTTGAGTATACTACATGGGTATTGGGGATTACAGTATTTGCTCAATCTTTCCATTGCAACAGAGAATTTCGAAGCTGTTCGGCAATACTAATTTTCCGTACGGGGTCCGGTAATAGCTCGGTGGCTATGGCGGCGTCCCTCTTCCGACCGGTCCTGGGCTCGATACCCGGGAGCAACACCGAGTTAGACAGGCGGTCAGTTAATCCCTCTCTGCAGTCCGGAAACGGAGAGCCAGGCTCAGAGTAAGCCAGGTTGCTGATCGATAACCGAAAGCTAATTTTCCGTACTTTCCCGTCTCAGCAATTTTGAAGGCCAATGTTGCTTTCAGAAAGTTACGAACACCAACGGATATAGTTTGAATGCTGCTATAGACATTACCGCATACACTTCCTTTATAAAGAGCAATAACGCAGTCAATTCCAGACAAGAACCGAACCGAATGGAACCGAATGAATCCATGAACCGGTCTCGACACGAACCGCAACGGAACCGAACCGGAACGAACCGCTTCGCGGTTCATAAAGTTATTTTCGAACCGATGCGAATCGATGCGAACCACGGGAACCCTGGTAACATCCAAAGCGTGTAGGAAAAAGCGCAAAGCGTTACATCAAGAGCGTATTAGGAATGAGTATATTCCACGTACTCTAAATAGGACGATAATACCCCACCCCACCCCCCCACCCCACCCCAGGAAAAAGTGCAGAGTATAACATCAAGAGCGTGTTAGAAATGAGCGTGCTCCACGCACTCTGAACAGGACGTTAATACCCCCCGACCCACAAGGGCGCATAACAAAAAGTAGAGGAAAAAAACAGAAAAACGCACAAAAGCAGGTGGCGTTCTATCCGCCGCCAGCCAACTACATCCAGTAGTTGTGGGTGAGGTAACCACTGCAACCATTGCAACCACTCCAAAAAGCGTAACTCCAACCACCTTACGGTCCATCAGTGGATTCGCTCTGCCATCCATGTATCACAACAACTCTTCCTATAGCGTCCTATCTTTGACACTTCCGCCACTAGCTTATGCGGTAGTACTGGTATATTCGAAAAATAAGTATGAATATTTCTTATATTTGATATTCTAAATAAATAAGGTCGATTTCAATTTGTCGCCGCAATTTTTCAATTTGTAATTAGTTATATTAATTTAATTTTTTTTGTCAGAATTCAAGTGTCCCAGCTTTGAGAGGAATCGTACGAAAATTGATCGTCGAGGTTCCTCCGGGAGATTGAAATAAGAAAATCCCGATTTATAAACGTATATATGCCCTATATTTAATTTATAGCATGTAGATACCTGTATATACACTACGAACACAGAAAAGGGCGAGGGTGAACCAGAAAAAGACCGACCAAGGCGCATAGTGGTCGCTCAAACCTACTACATGTTGTGTGCATGAGCTAGGTTTGCTAGATTTCCTCTGTTGATCAAACGAACACGAAGTAAATTGTCCTATCATATCGGCAATTTCTGCAATTGAAGGCAAAGAGCTTGCAAGACATGAAACCACTGTTTGGTAGGCAATGAAGTGCATAATGAGGGGAAATGCTGCAGCAGCTTTTCCGTTCCTTTCCCATTTTCGGAATGTCTTGGAACAACACCCAAGAAATTTCAAGACAAACTAAACCCAGTCAAAGTTATCCCAACGGGCCGTTGCCGTCTGTGTGGCTTGGCAATCTTAGGCCCCCACCTTTCGTAGATCTAAGGCAAGCAGGTTGACTAGTTGCTCTTTTGAGGGACCTCGGAGTTTTCCCAATGCAATGAACTCATTCCCAAACTGGTCTATACATCACTCGGTTCTTCCAGATGGGGGAAGGGGCAAACCGATGCATACCACAAACAGCAGCTTTCAGCATGCAGCTTCGCTTAGTGGTTACGACAATATTCATGCCACAGTGGCTTTACACTCTTCAAGGATCTAGCAGCTGGCAGGCAGGAGGCAAAAGACATGTCTTGGAACAAGTCTCAATTATGAGTACCCTGTGCCGTAAAATTTCGTAGATATTCGTAGAGTAGATCTGTTGTCATCTTAAACATTTTGCCGTCAAGCCACATTTTGGAGCATGTCTTGGACATGCGCCGGAGCGCCTGGCATTGGTACAACATGTCTATGCCACGCAAAATTCTTTGATGGGTGAGGTGAGTGCGTGTGAGAAAACACAAAAGTTTGTTTTCTCTGTTCTGTAGGATTCATTTTTTTTGCTTCAAAGGACGATCAGAGTCTGTATGCCTGTACTGTAATTTATAGTTTGCATTCACTTGTTTCCGCCTGTTGGTTGCTGATTGGCTCCTCTTCAGAGGGTAGCAACCATTCTCGCAGCCTTGGTCACAAAGTCATGTCTGAGCTGACCTGATTTGAGTAGTTAATCTACTGTGACTGCCTGTCTGGTAGTGTGAAAGTCAACACTGCAAAAATCCGCCCGCAACGAAGGTGCCAAGGCGTGGTAGTCTAGCAGCGAGGGATACTTGCCTGGGACAGGGCACCCAAAGCCGAACTTCAGCCCAACTTGGACCCACTTGGCTCCAACTTCAGCCCAACTTGGCTCCAAGATGGCGCAACTTGGCTTCAACTTGAACCCGTTTGGGAGCAACTTCGGCCCAAGTTGAGGTTCACATGGCTTCAAACTGGGGTACATGCGTTTGAAGCAATCTTCCCCATGTTGTGTCTCCATTGGGCCCAACTTGGTGTGAAGCTGTCGCCAAAGGATCCCAAGTTGCGCAATGTTGCATATGACGTCCATGTGCATCACATGGCTTCAATTTGGGGTTCAACTGGATCGCTTTGGGCCCACCTTCAACTTGGGCTCCAGTTGGGCCCAAGATAGCGCAACTTTGGCCCAAGTTGAGCCCAAGTTGGGCCCAAGTTGGACCCCTTTGGGCAAATCCAACCCGGGCCTTTGCGGATTCAATTTGCATTTTAACGTTATTCCAACGTTATAATAAATGTTTCGTGCAAGGCCATGTACTTCGACGCCAGATGCCCCACACAGAACCAAGTTGCGCATGCTAGGCCCCACTTGCGTCCAAACGCGCCCGTTGCGCCATGTTAGACCGCAGTTGGACTCACGCGGGGCCCAAGTTGGAGCCAACTGGCCCCAGTTCAGCGCAAGTTACGCCCAACTTAGGTTCAAGTGGGCTCCTGTTCGGCCCAACTTAAGCCCAAGGACGGCCAAGTTTTACCCCAGTCGGCTTTTGGTTAGGCCAAATAGGCCCGCTTTTTTCCTCTCTGTGTCCTATTCCCTGGGTGCGGGCGGTTCTCGTCGCGAAGCGACTCGAATACATGCTGGAATGTCTCAACGAATGCGACAAAAGGATATCAGCAATACTAGTGAGGACGAGACAGTAGACCAAATGAATGAAAAACTCATGTGTCACAGCACACTCAGCGCATAAGCTCACTGCAATTTGCTCACGCTAGTTTCCTTTGCTGAGATGCCCTGAAAAATGCGCCTGGCGCAAACAGTAAGTGAAAAGCGTGTTGACATTTTAAAGAATTACGCCCTAGCTGGGCAGAATAACCTTGGTATATAGAAGACATGAGGGTGTGTATATATATATATATATTTATTTATTTATATATTTATATATTTATATTTATATATATATGTATACACACGTACATTGTATGCAGCCATTTAGTGTCATCTTCTATATGATACATATTCATATATATATATATATAAATATGTTCATAAATGATATGATATGTATAGTTACCTTGATCGTTATCTATAAGTTGATAGCAGCTACATAGGTATCTCGAAAAAAAATAAGCCTCGGTGGTATCCCCAACAGCTGCACCGTATTATTTTTTACAAATCTTTCTGAAGTGTGCTCTGAAGCCAAGCGCTGGAAACGCCTCAGCTGGGTTTCCGTGAGTTAAATGGTCGCAAATCCTGTTGGGCCTGACCTGGCTCTGCACCAAAGCCTCCCACACCTTCTCCGGAACTTGAACCTAACCTGCCTCTGCGCCAAAGCCTCCCACACCTTCTCCGGAACCTTCTCCGGAACCCTGTTGAACCTGACCCGGCTCTGCACCAAAGCCTCCCAGACCTTCTGCGGAACCTTCTCCGGAACCCTGTTGAATCTGACCTGGCTCTGCACCAAACCATCCCACACCTTCTCCGGAACCTTCTCCGGAACCCTGTTGAACCTGACCTGGCTCTGCATCAAAGCATCCCAAACCTTCTCCGCAACCTAACCTGGCTCTGACCAAAGCCTTCCGGAACCTTCTCCGGAACCTTTTCCGGAACCTTTTGAGGAACCCTGTTGAATCTGACCTGGCTCTGCACCAAAGCCTCCCACACCTTCTCCGGAACCTTTCTCTGGAACCTTCTCCGGAACCTTCTCCGGAATCTTCTCCCGAACCCTGTTGAAGGTGACCTGGCTCTGCACCAAAGCCTCCCAGACCTTCACCGGAACCTTCGGAACCTTCTCCGGAACCTGGTTGAACCTGACCCGGCGCCTGCACCAGTGCACACCGGAGCTATTCTGGGCTGAAGACCCCATTAGCTTACGCTGTTGGGGAAAAAACAGTTGATCTAGAATCTACAACTAATTTCACTGTTTCACATCAACTATTGATATGATATATGACTGATTATCAATAATGAATTATAGCTATGGAATATCATAATTATTGATGACAGCTATTCCAATTGCTGCATGTCTATTGATATTATATGGGCTTTCCTAGAATGGGTATCCCCAAGTCACCATGGTTTCAATATATTCAATATACTAAGTCATGGTCATGACTTGGATGATTTGGGGTACCCCCATGACTTTGGAAACCACCATATATATATACACGTATATCCATCACATAGCTAAGATTCCAATGCAACGCACCTCTGCAAGGCCTCATGCGCTTGCCGCAGGGACATCTCATCCAACGCCTCAAGGGAGGCACTGGTTGCGGAAAAAACCAGCCCATATCCATCAAAAGCCTATGCTTGATATGAGTCAATCATAATGTTCTCCGGTTTCACTGTAAATTGGGATGAAAGGCTGGGAAAAACCATCTACTGGCAATCTCGTCGCTCATCATGTTTCCAATAATTTCAATCTTAAATAGCAAGTTTGAGGTGTATGCTGCCCTACTTCTGGGCAAAGCCATATGTCATGAGATGATGAGGCTGACTCTGTTTGATGCCTTGAGTTGGTTGGAGTGCATGAATGCTTGAGCTGCGCCCTCTGCTTTCTTCACGTGTTACTTGTTCCAGTTGCACTTGGGGTGCACCTTCACTTTCCACCGTGAGCTGCTTGTTGCTTAGAACAGTCACACAGGTTGCATCAACCAAGAAATATTTAAAAAAAAACACGACGATGTTCATTCCTGAAACTGCTTGGATATTGCCATCCTGAATATGTGTGCTGGCCAACCAGGTCCGATGATAGAAGAAAGGATGCACGGTCTTAAGTGCGAGTCAGCTCGAATCGAATACAAATAGAATCCCTTTGCGTATTTCAAGGCCACTCATGATACACCGAGCAATGATGAGCAATGTGTGTGTATAATCAGCTCATATCAACGTCAAGTGCTATGCTCCGGTTCCGTTAAAAAAACATTTGCACCTTCTCCCGTAGTATCAAGCGCCAGCGGCCACAGGGGCCCTCCAAACCTTGATTGGACCATTTGGACCCAAACTATTTGATGTTGCAAATCTGGTCACCAGAAGATAGAAGTTGAAACATTCAGTAAGAGTAAAGGGACTTGAGATGATGCACAGCACTTATCAATGGCGCCTGGCATGCTAAGCCTCATCTACCAGCAGTGCAGCCTTATCCCTCATGCCAAGGGGCTCAGGCCCGAGGCCAAACAGGCGGGAACAGATCGAACCATCTGTGACAAACAGTGAGGATGCTCCACCTGCAACTTCACTTACTGACCATGCATTGGGATGAACACTAAAAAGTTGGCAAATGATTGGCAAATGGTCCAATGCTTGGCAACTGGTTTCGATCCAAAATTGAAATCAAGACTATGTGGGAATGCGATTATCATCCAGTTGACTATGTTGCCAACCATTCACCTTCTGGGACTGTCAGATTTGTCCAAGCGGGATAGTGGCCCGAATCTTCAATGTGACATCTACATACATCTACAGCCTGCTCCTCTTCAAAAAGTCTTTCCACTGGTTCTCTTTCCACTGGTCCTTAACATCAAAAGAGAACATTCTGGCAACCAAGCTTGCCTGCACAGCACCGTGGCACTTCACTCTAGAGTGTGGCAATAGCAAATCCGAATCATGACATGAGGATCTTGGATCACACATGGTACGATTCCATACGCTTGATCCGTCTCCTGCATCACTTTCAGCTTCCTTCTGCTGCAAATCTGCAAAGTTTGGCAATTTCCAGGAACCCTCGTTGACCGCCTTGCAAAGAAACGCAGGTTTTGGAGGTCACTGCTCAAGCGGATACAATATGATACAATAACAATATATATATATGATATATATATATATATAATTATATATATAATTATATATATATAATTATATATATATATCTATATTATAAAATTATATATATATATGATTATATATGTATATTATATATTGTTATATTATATATTGTTATATAATATTGGCTCAAGGATGTGCAAGGTCCATCAAAGGCTCACAATCCGGGCGTGCCAGTACCAGTTTCAGCAATGACTCGGTGGCTTCCCACGCCCAGGCTTTGATTTCCTGGCTCGGCCGTGGTCGTGTACGGTGTGCGCCATGGCAATGACATCATATGAAGGGTTCCATAAAATTCGGGTACCCTAAAATAAATGGTTTATATCAAAAAACAATCTATAAATGGATGATTTGGAGGTATCCCCATTTCAGGAAACCTCCATATGACATCTAGATATGACAAGCTTGACAATTCGTCAGCAATGGCCTCTTCATAGTCCCCCTTGCAGTCATCTAACATGCAGGGTGATGTGTTGATTTCCTCAGAGCACGCAACTTGCAGCTACAAAGCCCAGTCTATCGTGTCTCATGCTGTCTCTAGAGAGTTCAACCACTGACATTTCAGTCTCCCGTCATATCAATCAGAACCATTCATATGGTCATATCAACCATTCATATCTATATTAATTGTATCAATATGTATTAATAGAATTGTTTCAAAAACAAACAGCATGGCATGCGACTTCTACATGTTAGTCAGGCAAGGGGCCAACAACCATGGCTGCCAACTCTCGTCCAAACCTCAGAGTCCGTAGCAGCGTAGAAAACCTCCAAGATACCATGTCAAGTCTGAAATGCTATTTGAAAAATATTTGATTCACCGGATTTGAAAAAAAGAAGTTCAGGCCACAATTCCCAAATCATCCATTTTTATAGGAGTGTCCATTAAGCATCCATTTTGGGTATCCCCAAACCTTCATTTGATTTGCGTCGCCAAAGAAGAGCGCTGTATCTCCAATGCAAAACCAGCGCTTCCAGGGGACCGAAGTCCAGACCGAAGAGCTCCTTGGAAACGGTCAACGGTGAAAAACATCGGAATCATTGAATTTAGATTCAGAATGAATAAAGGAAGTTATAATATTAATAATAGTCATAATAGTCATAATAGTAATCTTAATAGTCATTGTACTATGAGAGCTGTAAGATCTATTAGCATGTTTAAGCCAGCAATAAAAAAGCAAAGGTGCTCTAAAGATCTCAAAAAGTGATGAGTGGAAGCTCAATGAACCATGAATTGTGCGCTCTGACCCTGGGAAGCCTTGTATCTGCCAAGACTCAAAGGCCTTTGCTGCACTCCGTGCTGTCGGTGCCATGGTGCAACGCGTGGCCAACAGGCTGGCCCGAATTGCATCCAGCAGCCTGGAAGATGTGTTTTATGTGTTTTGTTATTAGACTTTGAGGTTGCCATCTTGTTGAAGGAGTTGGGTGCAGAAGCAGATGATGCAAGTCATCTGCAAGCCAATGAAATCCGTACGAATACACTTGGAAACTATATCTGGAATCAGAAACAAACATCCAGACCATCTGAAATCATCTAGCATTATCTTTCATAAGGACAAAGTTTCTCCCGCAAGTCTTCAGACACAGTGTGCCTAGGCCAGGTCCTGGTTTTCCATCGCTCACTGCAGCCACTGTCCAGGGACTCGAAAAGTGCCTGCAGCCAGGGATCGAAGTGCTGCAAAGGCCAATGTAAAGACCATAAAAAAATACGATTGCGTGATGTTGCGTGAACCAACAAGCTGTTGCTTCTACTTGAGGAAGCAAAGGTGTCGCCTAAGGAAGAAATCTTTAAAAATGCTTTCTTCAGTAATGCTCCAAAGTGACTTTGGATCACTTCCTATGTCCTATGCCTTCATGGGTATGCGATTCTCGTTGTCACGGCAATTGGTCTTGTGCGCTTTGGGCTCCATGGAATCCTGAGTTTGGCACTTCCTCCATAGCCATGTCATGTTACACGTTATTACACGTTGATGGAATCATCAACCCTGGAAACCTCTCGGCCAAGTGTCCACTTCAAAAGGGCGGGTAGCAATTCTAAAGTACACTTCTGGATGCACGAAGGCCGTCAAAGGATTCCAGTCCTTTAAGCCAGTCAGAACAGAGCAGCTGACCCGCTCAAGTGTTCAAGGTACGTGCATGTTCGTAGGTTTTGAGCTTCATAAACAGCTCTACTGAAGTTGTTTGCCTGTTCCTGGAGCATGCATGAAGTTCTATTCCGCTCTCACCAACGGTCCAGCACCAAAACCCACACTCGAAGGTCGCATTTCGCACGGCCATACGGCTGTGCGACCAGCAAGGGCCGCTCAATGTACTTCTGCGCCTGAGACCATAACAAAATATGATGCCATTTGGACAGGAAGCACTGGAACCATCAAGCTATTTTCCGGAGCTGCTTGCAAAGCCACTGAACGCCAACACCTCTTCTACTTACAACATCTTACAAGTTTTTCACAATCAGAAAATCATTCTGGGGGACATGACCGTATCTTCTCGAGCCCGTTGCGAAGGTTGCATCAAACCGGAGTTGCATCTGAAAAGCGCATTGTCTGGAGATTGCTACCAGGCCACAACGCAGTCCCGACCCTGGCCCGTGGCACGATGTTGCTCATAGTCTTCCAGCAGCTGTGCCAAGCCTGAACCATTCTCCGGCATCAGTCTTGAACTGCGAATCACAAGATCAAAACAGTAGTTCTTCTGTTGAGTTCCGCTTCAGTGCCGACCTGAAAGGACGGTAACGCCTTTGCCCCTCTGCACACAAGGCTCCTTCAGCGCCCAAATGTTTTGTGGTCCGTCAAGGTGTTGTTGCTGATAGGGACTATCTTCACCTCAGTGAGGCGATCAGCAGCAATGGATCTCAAAAGTGAGCAATTGTACTCTGCATCTGATGCCAACTACCAATGACAACTGTAAATCAGAGCCTGGGGTTGTTCGTAATCAAAGGATATCAAAGGCTACTTTACTTGCTCGAAGATGAAGGGAAAGGCGAAGGAGACAGAGAGCCCAAAGCCGTCTGAGACTGGATTATACAACCAATCCACCTGCGAAGAGGTCTCTTCCATTTGCCAAGGGACCTCCAGGAATGACAGGATCTTCCCGGCAGACAGGACACTCTGGGCTCATTGAGCGACTGAGAAACCTGGGGATGGAAAGCGGACAGTGTATCTCCAAAATGGAACGCCCCAACAGAGATTAGCCAAGGTGAAACCAGAAACACTTCAACAGAGATGGAATGACATGACCTACATGGATGTCAAAGCTGAGAGCGCCCTGATTTTGTTGGAGTTCCAAATATACCATCTATGCCCTTGGAGCTGCGTTTCTTTTTTCAGGGAGTGTCTGGAGAACGACTTCCCAATCATTGCAAAGGTAGACCCCAGCACCCGGTTTGCCCACCCCATTTGCCACACGGGCGATCTTTGCCAAGTGGCACATCCACATGCACCCGCTGATGCATGCCTGATTTATAGGCGTCAGGCATAGCCATAGGTGCGATTTGGAACATGGATGAACTTGAATGAAATGAAAACTTCCTATCAGGGAAACACAAGGAAACAAGGAAACATTGTCAAGAAGGGACCCAAACTAACATAGGTGTGTGGCAATGAATGCAGAATCAGTGTACTTTCTAGGTGTGAAATGCAAGGAGGTGCCTGGTTGATAGTTGCCATGGCAAACCCTTCAGCTTCGTGTGCCGGTGGTACTGAGAAGTCAACAAAATTCAACAAATGGGGTCCCACATGTCGTTCCACTGCCAAGCGGCTGATTTTCCGGGGTAACAAACACCTGAGTATACAGCTGCGAATTCTTCCATGCAAATTCGTCTTGATTTTGAGCACTCTGTTTGAATTGAAACTCCACACCTTAATCATCGAAACGAATTCGGACGGGGAAAACGATGGAAAATGATGTCATGGTCTGATTCGACCAGGTTATGCCAGGTAAAATGGTGAATGCTTTCAGGTGACCCACGGCCCAGCAAGACAGCGGTCTCATGGGGGCAACGAAGCAGTCGCTCGGGCCGGTCAGCGTGGCCTTTCGACCATTCCTGCAACGTGGCCAGTATTTGGGGGTATGAAATCCCAAATAAGGAATTCCGCGATATATTCCTAAACTCCCCAAAATAGAAAATCAGAGATATCCCAGCTTTGACACTAGAGTCCAAGCACTGATCTCCCTTACCAAATAAAACATTTGGATTTTTTTGGTGTATTTTGAAGGCGCCTACGTGTGGAACCCGAGACTTTGCTCTAGTATCTCTAATTTCTGTGTAACTTCAGGCTTGATTTGATATCAAGTTGAACTAATTCTCAAAAGATTGTGAAGATCAAAAGAAAAACAAATCAATTCTACTCACATGTTATAACTATGCCACAGATGGCTTCTTAGACTGTGACTGTGCAGTAGAGTGGCCACAAAAAATGGTCACCCGACGGTAGAGGGTGGCCTTGTGACGCTTCAGCACTCGCAAGGCGACTTCTTTGGGGCTGATTCCCGTGATGCCTCACATTTGGCGCAAAAGAATGAAGCGTGTCCAGGCCAACGAGGAAAACGTAGAAAATATGCCAAAAATCACTCTATACGAATCTATGCGCATTATCCAGGCAAGAGACCCCAAACAGTGCGCAGCTAGGATTCTGAAAGGAAAGGTGGGAAGGATTAAAAAGTATGGTGTTCATTCAAGGTGGTCTCTGGAAGAAGAGATGCCGGTTAGATTCTGCAAGTTCCCTTTGGGAAGATCTCTGTAGAAGATCGTGCGCAAAATCACCTTGACAGGTTCTCTGTAGAAACTGCTGTGCGACATCCCTTTGTAAGGTTATCTGTACAAGATGTTTAAAGGAGATCTCCATATAAAGGAGATCTCCATAGAAGAATTCTGTACGAGATCTCAAAGTAAGATCTCTGTTCAAGTCCTCTCTATAAAGATCTCTGAGCAAGATCTCCGTTCTCTTCACCAAGTCTCTGTGCAAGATCTCTATAGGAGGTCTCCTGGCAAGATCTCTGCACAGGATCTCTATGCCAGCTCTGTTGGCAAGATCTCTGTAAGAGACCTCTTGGCAAGATCTCAACAGATCTCTACGTAATGTCTCTGTACAAGATCTCTATAAGAGGTCTATTGGCAAGATCTCTGTGCAAGCTCCCTGTAAGGTCCCGTGGCAAGATCTGTGTCATAGACATAGATCTCTGTACAAGCTCTTTAAAAGAGGTCTCTTGGCAAGATCTTGACAGATCTATGTGCAATGTCTGTGTACAAGATCTCCATAAGAGGTCTCCTGGCAAGATCTCTGTACAAGATCTCTATAAGAGGTCTCTTGGCAAGATCTCTTTATGAGATCTCTGTACACGCTGTCTATAAGGGCTCTCTTGGCAGGTCTTGGCAAAGGACCTCTTGGCAAGATCTCAACAGATCTCTACGCAATGTCTCTGTGCAAGAACTCTATAGTAAGAGGTCTATTGGCAAGATCTCTGTGCAAGCTCTCTATAAAAGACCTCCTTGTCAAGATATCTGCGCAAGATCTCCTTGACTATCAAAATGAGCACCGCGCCACAACAAGAGCCATGTGACACGATCTGACAGGCCCAAACTGGCGAGAGGGTTGCGCGAGAGATCTCAAAATTCGCACTGCGCCACAACGAGAGCGATCCGACACGCCCAGTGTGACGAGAGGGTTGCGCGAGCGAACCCAAAACGAGCGCTGCCCACAACGAGAGCGATCTGACCCGCACAGAGTGACGAGAGGGTTACGCAAGCGATCTCAAAATGAGCACCGCGCTACAACGAGAGCGATCTGTCACGCACAAAGTCACGATAGGGTTGCGCGAGCACATGTTAGATTTTCACAAAACATTGCGCACACCACAAACATGAAAACGATGTCTTACCTAGGTCTCGACCTCTTTTTCGTGGAGGTCTGCAAAGTACTGCGCCTGCCACGAAAAATGAACCCGGGGCATCCGAAGTGCTGCACCTGCCACAACGGAATCATATCATTAATTATGTCCAAAATCAACAATGACGACCGTTTCACAAAACGAGACTTTCGACCCTTTTAAAACGTCGTCCAAGTTCACCAGACACTGCACCTGCCATGAAAAAATGGCCTCCAAAACTGCCTCTGGTTTTGAACCACGCAAGGTGCAGAAAGTGCCACGCCTGCCCCGCACTCAAAATGTCCGGAAAGTGCCACGCCTGCCACACATTGTGGACATAGCGCGCGCTAGTAAAACGAGCCCTTCGGAAGAGGGGTCCCCACGATACCCGGTTTGTGCGAGCCTGCGCAGTCGAAATGCACATCGGCATCTCACAAGGGAACTTTTGTGCTGTAAGGGTCATCGAAACGGCGCACGTATGAGAACACCTCGAATGAACACCCGGCCTTAACAGCTACTGTAAGAACCCCAAGTGTGACCACACTGTTTGGGGATAAATATATTATACATCATTATATAATTATACTTAATTATATTATATATATATCATTATACATCTATATTTAATCTATATATCTATATACCTGCAATCTATATCAATCGGTTGTGGCCAATTGTGGAAGGAATGAAGAGTGTTGCTAGAGTATATTGGTCTGATCTGAGTGAATGGCAAAGATTTACATACAGTGGATCAGTTCTTGAAGTGTCACCACCTCTGACGCACTGCAATATGCACAACTTCAAGTCTTCCTCAGAAAAGTTTGAATCCAAAGGCATTCCAAGATGTCTCAAGTGTTTGAAGTGTACGAAGCTGCCTGAAGGCTGCGATGGTACAAGACCGCGCAACACTTGTTCTGCTGCGGTCAGTACCTCAGAGACTCAGAGGGAACAAATATATCTTTGAAGTGTCCTTCAGTTCAGTCAGAGCTGCATGCACATAAAGGAAAATCATCATTCAAATACCCAATATCAAAAGGAACTAAACTCATCTAAAATTCAAATTACTGTAAAAACACCATGTCAAAACAATGCGTAGAAAGTATTAGACTGTAAAAACTGTTTGAGCGCAAAGAGACTCTAGATATCTCTAGAGTCGACAGCAAAGCGACTTGCCAAGCCACAAAATCCCGCAAAAAGCATCGCATGCCCCAGGCATCTCGCAAGTCATACTTAGTTGCGAGGGCACCGAGGGCCAGCATCAATGAAGCATCAGCGCTAAAAGATGCTAAAAGATGCAAAGGACAAATCTGGCTTCATGCGTTCGAAATGTTCAGATACTTTCAATTAAGATCAATTCAGTGCATTCTAATCAGTTGTTTTCAGGGAAAGAATATGTTTCACGATACATGTTTCACGATGCTTCACGATGTTTCACGAATAAAATTGTCTATCTGCAGATTGTTCCTCATGCATCTGGCTTTGAATGCAAAAGTGTCTCCAAACCTCCCCACAGAGTCTCAGACTTGTCGCGGAAAGAATTTCGAGCAGCAGGGACAGCACCAAAGGCACTGGCCAAGAAACGCTTTGTTACCTGAAACCGTGGAGATTCATTGGCATCCACTGGAGTACATCGTGTAAACCCTCTTACACAATGCCCATGGCGCAACGTCGCAACGTGCTCCTGACACACTAAGCATACTGCAGGGCGATCAATGTCTATGAAGGTATGAGTTATGACTAGTTATGACTCTAACCGTTGAGATCAGCTGGCTGATAATCATCGGCACTAGTTTTTTTGGTATACTGAGCATCTCCTTTGCAATTTCCGACAAGGCACTCAAGTAATAGGAACCATGAAAGTGATTGATCAACTGCCAGGGTTCCAAAACAGACTTCTCAGCATCTCGGGATCGAAAAGTCCTGAGTACTGACCCGCTTCACTCCACAAGGTGTATAAGTTTGATCAGGTGTTTGCTCCAACAAAGTCAGAGAATAGATGAAAACAATGGAAAATAGAAATCAGTTTGTAGATCTTTATAGTCCTACAATTCCTTTTCTGCAATTCCTACGAGTTGTCCATCCTTCACCTTGAAAAAACAGTGCCTCAGCAAGCCCCGCGCTGATACCAAGGATCCATTTCAAGCGACAGGCGGTTGGTCTATCTGCAGGGCTCCTTGGAACATCATGGGATGATTGGACCAAACAGGCACAAAGGGCATGCACAAATTGCACCAAATCCTGTTCTGCAAAACCTCACAAGTGTACTGAAGTGAAAACAGTTTGAGCCCAGGGAATCTCTGGGTTGTTGTGTTTTAGTTTTATTATGAATATTATGAATATTATGAATATTATGAATATTATGAATATATATATATATTGTTATAATCATCATGTTATATCATGTTATATCATGTTGTATCATGTTATATCATGTTATATCACGTTGTATCATGTTATATCATGTTATATCACGTTGTATCATGTTATATCATGTTATATCATGTTATATCACGTTGTATCAGGTTATATCATGTTATATCACGTTGTATCATGTTATATCATGTTATATCATGTTATATCACGTTGTATCATGTTATATCATGTTATATCACGTTGTATCATGTTATATCATGTTATATCATGTTATATCGTTGTATCATGTTATATCATGTTATATCATGTTATATCATTGTATCATGTTATATCATGTTATATCACGTTGTATCATGTTATATCATGTTATATCACGTTGTATCATGTTATATCATGTTATATCACGTTGTATCATGTTATATCATGTTATATCATGTTATATCACGTTGTATCATGTTATATCATGTTATATCACGTTGTATCATGTTATATCATGTTATATCATGTTATATCACGTTGTATCATGTTATATCATGTTATATCACGTTGTATCATGTTATATCATGTTATATCATGTTATATCACGTTGTATCATGTTATATCATGTTATATCACGTTGTATCATGTTATATCATGTTATATCATGTTATATCACGTTGTATCATGTTATATCATGTTATATCACGTTGTATCATGTTATATCATGTTATATCATGTTATATCACGTTGTATCATGTTATATCATGTTATATCATGTTATATCACGTTGTATTATGTTATATCATGTTATATTACGTTGTATCATGTTATATCATGTTATATCATGTTATATCACGTTGTATCATGTTATATCATGTTATATCATGTTATATCACGTTGTATCATGTTATATCATGTTATATCACGTTGTATCATGTTATATCATGTTATCATCATGTTGATATCATGTTATATCATGTTATCACGTTGTATCATGTTATATCATGTTATATCACGTTGTATCATGTTATATCATGTTATATCATGTTATATCATGTTATATCGTTATATCATGTATCATGTTATATCACGTTGTATCATGTTATATCATGTTATATCATGTTATATCACGTTGTATCATGTTATATCATGTTATATCACGTTATATCACGTTGTATCATGTTATATCATGTTATATCACGTTGTATCATGTTATATCATGTTATATCATGTTATATCACGTTGTATCATGTTATATCATGTTAGATCACGTTGTATCATGTTATATCATGTTATATCACGTTGTATCATGTTATATCATGTTATATCATGTTATATCACGTTGTATCATGTTATATCATGTTATATCACGTTGTATCATGTTATATCATGTTATATCACGTTGTATCATGTTATATCATGTTATATCATGTTATATCACGTTGTATCATGTTATATCATGTGTTATATCATGTTATATCACGTTGTATCATGTTATATCATGTTATATCACGTTGTATCATGTTATATCATGTTATATCATGTTATCACATGTTATATCATGTTATCATCATGTTATATCATGTTATATCATGTTATATCACGTTGTATCATGTTATATCATGTTATATCATGTTATATCACGTTGTATCATGTTATATCATGTTATATCATGTTATATCACGTTGTATCATGTTATATCGTTGTATCATGTTATATCATGTTATATCATGTTATATCATGTTGTATCATGTTATATCATGTTATATCATGTTATATCACGTTGTATCATGTTATATCATGTTATATCACGTTATATCACGTTGTATCATGTTATATCATGTTATATCACGTTGTATCATGTTATATCATGTTATATCATGTTATATCACGTTGTATCATGTTATATCATGTTATATCACGTTATATCACGTTGTATCATGTTATATCATGTTATATCACGTTGTATCATGTTATATCATGTTATATCATGTTATATCACGTTGTATCATGTTATATCATGTTATATCATGTTATATCACGTTGTATCATGTTATGTCATGTTATATCATGTTATATCACGGTGTATCATGTTATATCATGTTATATCATGTTAGATCACGTTGTATCATGTTATATCATGTTATATCACGTTGTATCATGTTATATCATGGTATATCATGTTATATCACGTTGTATCATGTTATATCATGTTATATCATGTTATATCACGTTGTATCATGTTATATCATTTTATATCATGTTATATCACGTTACATCATGTTATATCATGTTATGTCACATTGTATCATGTTATATCATGTTATATCATGTTATATCACGTTATATCATGTTATATCTGGGATGCTTACCTGCTGTGCCCATAAAGTCTCATTGGGAGCGAGACATCTTGACATCTCGATCTCCCCTGCCAGTGCTCTGAGATTCTCCGTCCAGCCCCAATGAACTAAAACTCGCCGAACCAGGTCACAGGAGTTTCCTGAGTGGGCAAGGCTGTGCAAAGACAGACTGGAAATGAAAGATTGCTAGGCTTAGCTTAGGAAAGACAGCTGGGCTCCAAAAAGTCCATCTGGTTGCTCCCTCTCTTGTTCTCCCTCAGAGCTCACGATCTGGTCCAACTACTGTATCAACTAAATAAATGTTGCATTTCTTTCATGTTTGTATGGCCAATCGCAAGTGATCAGAAAGGATGATTCACAATGATTCTCAAGGCTGAAGTGTTCCAGGCCTTCGCAAATGAAGGTCTTCTGACCAACCGGTAGCAATGGTGTTGGAAACACAGTTGCCGAAAGCACTAGCGCTTTCTTCGCAACCTGACAGTGCTTGGCTTGCGGAGAGTCGCTTCCTCCAGTGTTGCTGTACAAAAATACAGTACACCACTGGCTTTCTGTAGCGGAAGCGAAACCTGTGAACTGTCCCTCCACTTAGAACCTACACTTCCACAGTGGATACACGAGCACGCCTCTACCAAAGGTCCGAGAGAACTTTCCTAGAAGTTGTTGCTGCTCAGTACCTCCTCACATTTCATCAGGAAATTATAAGGATGCTGTTTATGAAGCACCTGAATCTCTCAATAGATCCAAAAAACATTCATTTATATCATTTATTGTAATGCTTGAACATGATGTCACCGTGCTTTCCGCAGTTCTTTGAATATCCCCAAACGCTTGACATGCGTTGACATGTGAGAATCCCAAGCCTCACATGGATCTCAGGATCTATCCCTAGTGGATTCCCTGATTCCCTGGATTCTGCCCATCCCAACAGCCCCATTCCCCGTCCCGTCCCGCGCCCATCCCGCACCTTTCGTTTGGAACTCTGCCGGGCCCTCTTCGTGGCACGGCGCTCGTCGCCTGCATCGCCTGCATCGCCTGCGTCGCCTTCGGCGGTCGCGGTCGCGTCAGTCGTGTCGTTCGCGGTGCCCTTGTCGCTCGACCTGGCGAATGGGTCATGGGTTGCCATGGGTCGAGGTAAAGGAAAATGCGAAAATCATGGAAAAACAATGGAAAAACATAGATCCTGCTTAAAGTAATCATACATCTGCTATTATTATTATATATATAATGATATATAATGTGTATATATATATATAGTGTATATATGTATATATATAATGTATATATATATAATGTATATATACATATATAATGAATGTATATATATAATGTATATATATATATAATGTATATATAATGTGTATATATATAATGTATATATATATAATGTATATATAGTATATATATAGTGTATATATATAGTATATATATAGTATATATATATAGTATATATATATACTGTGCGTATATAATTATATAAATTATAATTACGTATATATGTAATCAATCTGTAGTCAATGAATGTTACTTGGACTTGGCTGGGGTGGGTATGACATTGGTAGTTAGTTTGGCAAAGATAAGAATCCTCACATAAGCTGAGACGGTTGTCAAATGCCAGGAGTACTGCTCATCAACCACCACGGTGGCCATGGCATGCCATGCGATCAGGCTACTAAGGGAAAAGCGTTCAGATTCAAGCAAACATTAATTTCTATCTTGGCTATTATGTTGCAAATTGTTCGCAGAAGAAATGCAAACAAGAATTCGGCATGTTCAAGTCGTTGATGTCATTTCCACTGCAAAGGGCAAGACTGTGTCGCAGCAATCTGGAGAATACGCAGCAAAAGATCTCGGTTTGGTGATGTATTCACAATTCTTGAAACGGATTCTTGACCTCACATGTTGGAAACCACCAAAGAAAATCAAAGAACTAATTATGGCAGCCATTGCGCATGGCCCTTCTGAGCCAACAGAGGACAAAGCATGCCATCGTTCGAGAAACATAGCATAAAGTATAAGTATCCCTGTTTCATCCAACAACAAGCCTACCCCAAGCGTGGCTATTCACAAACGTAATGAACTTGAATGGCTTCTCTGGAAATGCAACTTGCAATTGAGGTCCAATCTGGCAGTCTGCAGAGTCGAATCAAATCTCCGGCCTCTCATCCTATCAATGCCAGTGGTCACATGCCAGCACCAACCAGGCTGGAGAGAATCCGGAGGTAATCACCCGTTTTGTAGTGACTACCGGAAGTTGGGGTAGCCATGATATCTGTGACCAAATGCGCACAAAGTTCTCACTTATGTGTGTGTGGTTCATTACATCTCCCTGAATTGCACACTTCTTTTTGGCATGCGCCAAAAAGGCTGTCCTATTGGTCTGTCAATGAACAGAAAACAGTTCAAACAAACGGGAATTCTCTCAAGGATTCCTAAAAGATTTCCAGGATATACACAAGAGCAAGGAGCTTCAACTTGACCGATATACACAGCTCCCTCACTCCGGTAAATCAGAGAACATGAAAGCTAAACGACCTCAGCGACACAGCGATACTTGTGAGGATGAGATTCAAGACAGTGCTGAGCAGTGCTGTACGCCAGACATCTGTTGCTAATTTAGGGCTATTTGCATACTCATAGCCAGGTGTGACCATGCTTCGCGCGGCCATTCACAAGCACTTTCATGCAGTATGCGACCTTGTCTGAATCCTGAAAGTCCTTGGGATATTCTCTTCGTTCAACTAGGACATACATCAAGTGGAACCGAATATGTCAAAAGCAGTCGCCTGCCAATTCAGTTTGTTCATCTTCCAATGCAGAGCCAAGAGGCTGCAAAGTGGGTGGCCTGTTGCCTCATTCTCTGGATTGGTAAAAGAAAAACTTGCAGCATGCACATCCACACATCACTTTGTCATGTTTTGTGGCTGTTTCAATAGAGCATGCACTTCAAAGTCAACACTTCAGGCCTAGAGATCCTGACTTTTCCTTTTAGGGATGCAGGCAGTTTACATCCAACTCCATGGTTTCTGCAGCTTGGTAGGCGCGGTCTGTCTACACAAAGCTGACCCCCCGAGGCAACCACCGCATTTCTCTGCAGTGAAGGTGGCTGAGCGGATCCTCAGACACACCACTTGCTGCGTTAAGGCTTCAAATGTTGCATTGACTCCCAAAGGGGCTGGTCTACTCTAGCAAAAATGTGAGCCTAAACTTCAGCCTTGTGAGACGTTCTTGCAGATTTGCTGGAAAAATTATCCGAAACATTCTGAAACAGAACACATGTCTGGCACATGTTCAGGATATGAAGTTTCCTGAAATCGGAGTACCCCAAAATGGATGGTTTATGATGGAAACTGCTATCAAAATTGATGATTTGGGGTACCCCCATCTTAGGAAACGCGTTTCTTCGATCATTTGGCCACAACTTGGCGACCCTTGGAGGCCGAACTTGTTGCAGTGACGCCATCAAGGCTACGGATGCCAACCGAGACAGCCAGGTCCTGGTCTTTCGGCCCAGTTTTCCCATGTTTCCCATTTCTCTGCGAACATGTCCATTTCCAACTTATGGCAATTTTCATCAATTTTCCCCAATATATTGAAGTGGCCATTGATTGGGGTGGCAACGCGCCTGAGGACGATGGCCAGCCTGGGCTCCTGCTGGCCAAATGATACCAAAGTTGCCATGTCTTGTGGTGATTTGTTGACTGATTTGTTGAGTTGAATCATCTTAAAAATGATCCTTAAATGATGGAAAATCCACCTGGGGCTGAGATATATTTGCAATTAGCACAATTGCATACAATTGCATACAATTGCATACAATTGCATGAGCCACTACAGTTAATATACATTGAAAACGACCCAGAATAATAGCAAAACTACCAAGGCATCTCGGCTGATCTGAGACTAAGATGCCCAAGCCTTGGCCCTGTCCCATTAGCCTTCACTTCCGCTTGCCACAAGTCATTAAAATCGATGATGAGCACCTTCAGCTGAAACAATCAACAAGGAGGGTATCTGGATAAATATTTATTTATTTATTTATCTATTTATTTATTTATATGGATGTCCAGTATCCATTCATGGATCTGCATGGGAACTGACGAAGGAACAGGTCACGAGATCACTGAGTCACGGTGCCTCCAAAGCGCCTACGGCCTTTCCGGTACACGAGAGGTTGGCCTTGCGACTCTTTCGATGGACGACTTGGAGGAGGGTTCTGTCCAATCTGTCCAAGCAAAAGAGAAAACACCATTGAAAGTTCCGCAGAAGTCCAAATTTCAACTGACTGTCCAGTCAATGAAAGGCGCTGCGCTGCTACATGTTTGGATACCACATGATACCACCACTGTTCCGCTCTGACTGGTGGTCGAGTGTGTGTATGTGTGGTCTTTTCTTCTTGGAGAACGCCGAAACCAAATGAGGAAGGATGCAGAGTCGCCATCTCACTGCCGAATGCATTACACCGAAATCAAAGAGACATCTAGTGAGACATTTAGTGAGACACGTAGTCATGTCATGCATCAAAATAATCGAAACAAACCATGTTCGATGTTTCCAATCAGGTTTCTGTATCTTCATGAGTCATCCAGTATACACATACTAAATCCGTCTAAATCAACCCTGCTTCCCTTTGAGACAAGCTTCTCCCACATAGACATTTTGATCTCTGTCGAAGCTACCACTAGCATATTCCACAGCCTCAGATGTTGTCATCTTCAGTCATGCGAGTGCAGTGACCGGGGAAATGCGCTCCAAGAAGCCCCAAAGACTGCTCCAACCCGCGCGCGCCGTGCACGTGTTTCTGGCACCTGCGCTGTCCGGCAAATGGTGTTGTGGCCTGTGGGTAAGAATGACAATTGGTGCGTATGTGTCAAAACCTTCTTACCCGCATGAACGCCAAAACAGATCAAAATAGCTGGTAAATGGATGTTGCTTCATCTCCCAAGTATTATGGGATCCAAGGTTTTGACCATCCATATATATCAAATGTTCTTCCAAAACCTCCAAACTCATGGACAGAGCCACGTTCTCCACTTCATCGTTGCATCTAGCAAATCTAGCGCCAGCAGTGTTCCGAAAACTCTTAGACAGTGCTGCCGGCTGATTGACCCACACACGACAAGAAGAAAGTGGTTGAAGTCAACCACACACTTGCCACTTGCCCTAGGCTTGCCTCTGTTATGTCAGAGCCCTTCACCTAGGTGCTGAGTGGTCGCTCATGTTTTGAAAATCTCAACCTGATGCTGATGCCCCACAACACCTATATCCTGTGGTAAAAATTGGTCACATACAGCTCAGGTTGTTCGCATGGAAGAAAATGTATTGCGACCACTTTGCTGCAATGGCCTTGCTTCCCCATCTGTGACGCCCAGCTGTCAAATGCGTTCAATTCCACAGTCCCATCAGGTACCATTAGAAATGAAGTGCATCCATCAAGTCAAGACACAGTTGCGCGTCGGTGAGGGGAATTTGCTCCGGGACCACTGGGATGTGTGACCTGCCGCTTCAGGCAGAAACAAGCATAAGACGGCCAAAGGCCAAAGGTGCAACGCATTTTGAGGCAATCCTGATCAAAGTGACATTCCAGTTCTCGCCACATTCCATATATATATATATAAATGCATCAAAAATCAGGCTCCCCGGCATCCACTGCGCCATCGAGGATCACGATCAACTCTCTGGCAGCTGAGCCGTGGCGGAAGAGCACCTCCCATGGCAATGGGAGAATCCCCTCACTGGATGCCACTAGGTGGGTTTGTTGATGGGATATGATGTATGGATGTATGGATGTATGGATGTATGGATGTATGGATGTATGGATGTATGGATGTATGGATGTATGGATGTATGGATGTATGGATGTATGGATGTATGGATGTATGGATGTATGGATGGATGTATGGATGTATGGATGTATGGATGTATGGATGGATGTATGGATGTATGGATGTATGTATGTATGTATGTATGTATGTATGTATCTATGTGTATGTAGTATGTATGTGTATATGTATGTGTATGTTATGTGTCATGTGTGTATGTTATGTATGTTAGTTATGTCATGTTATGCATGTTATGCATGTTATGCATGTTATGCATTGTATGTATGTTATGCATTGTATGCATTGTATGCATTGTATGCATTGTATGCATTGTATGCATTGTATGCATTGTATGCATTGTATGCATTGTATGCATTGTATGCATTGTATGTATGTGTATGTATTGTATGTATTGTATGTATTGTATGTATTGTATGTATTGTATGTATTGTATGTATTGTATGTATTGTATGTATTTGTATGTATTGTATGTATTGTATGTATTGTATGTATTGTATGTATTGTATGTATTGTATGTATGCATTGTATGTATTGTATGTATTGTATGTATTGTATGTATTGTATGTATTGTATGTATTGTATGTATTGTATGTATTATATTGTATGCATTGTATGTATTGTATGTATTGTATGTATTGTATGTATTGTATGCATTGTATGCATTGTATGTATTGTATGTATTGTATGTATTGTATGCATTGTATGTATTGTATGCATTGTATGTATTGTATGCATTGTATGCATTGTATGTATTGTATGTATTGTATGTATTGTATGTATTGTATGTATTGTATGTATTGTATGTATTGTATGTCTTGTATGTATTGTATGTTTTGTATGTATTGTATGTATTGTATGTATTGTATGTATTGTATGTATTGTATGTATTGTATGTATTGTATGTATTGTATGTATTGTATGTATGTATTGTATGTATTGTATGTATTGTATGTATTGTATGTATTGTATGTATTGTATGTATTGTATGTATTGTATGTATTGTATGTATTGTATGTATTGTATGTATTGTATTGTATTGTATCGTATTGTATTGTATCGTATTGTATCGTATTGTATTGTATCGTATTGTATTGTATCGTATTGTATTGTATCGTATTGTATTGTATTGTATTGTATGTATTGTATGTATGTATGTATTGTATTGTATTGTATTGTATTGAATTGTATTGTATTGTATTGTATGTATGTATGTATGTATGTATGTATGTATGTATGTATGTGTGCGTGTGTGTGTGTGTGTTTGTGTGTTTGTGTGTTTGTGTGTTTGTTTGTTTGCTTGTTTGCTTGTTTGCTTGTTTGCTTGTTTGCTTGTTTGCTTGTTTGCTGGTTTGCTGGTTTGCTTGTTTGCTTGTTTGCTTGTTTGCTTGTTTGCTTGTTTGTTTGTTTGTTTGTTGTACGTACGTGCGTACGTGCGTACGTGCGTACGTACGTGACATAGGTACATACGTAAGCGTACACATTTTGTGACATATGTATATGTTTTATGTGATATAGTTTTATAAATATTATGTGCTGCAGTTATATGTTATATCAAATAATTCCTACATTCTGTGTACTATATTTATGATACGTTACAACTATTAGTAACTATATATTGCAATCATACCTACAATATACTTATTTGTGCATAGATATGGCATGATATATGTTATACAATGGGATATGTTATACAATGCTGCAGATAATGAGATATTTCTTGAGGATTGATATTTGATGAGTTTATCTTTACATATCTTTAGCATAGGTTTGATGCATTTCTGTTGGACCTGCAGGGATCTGAAGGACCCCACAATGTACTGGGAACCCAAAAAAAACAAAACACCAGCCTCTCGCAACTCCACACCCGAAACATCACGTATGAAAAATTACAGTCCTGTTTCTTTTGCCCAAAGAAATTAATCTCGCAAGCTCAGAGAAAAGCTTCAGAAGGTTCATCTTATACTGTATATCACCAGCAGCCATCGCCAAGTATGATCCTTGCAAGGACCTTTAGATTAACTTTCAGACGGTGCTTCTGCATTGTCTTCTTCCAACGTCAACGTGATTCCCGCACAAGAACTCTTCTGGTGCAAAACGGATGCCTCACCGTCTTCCTTGGCAGCCACGACTCCGAACTTGGACATAACTTGTGAATCCTACCTCTTTGGCCAAACCTAAACACTGCTGAACACCCCGCCACTGCAGTCAACAAATCTGTGCTGTTCGCCCTCTGGCCACAGGGGAGTTTCCAAGCATCTCTGGCAAATCAAATCCAAAATGACTTGGGAATTCCAAAAGTTGACGACTTTTCCAGGGAGCTGTTCTGACTAAACAAAGCCTCAGCAACTGCACTTACACGCACAAGCACAGAACAATGGAAACGTAGTCATCAAGAAATGAATGAATAAACCAACAAATGAATCAATAAAAAATAAGCAAACCAGCAACCAAGCAAGCAAACATGCAAGCGACCAAGCAAGCACGCACCCAAACAAGCAGCAAGCACGCACGCAACCAAGCTGCCAAGTTACATGGCCTTGCATTACATTACAGTTGCGACAGCTACTGTATTTCCATTTCACTCATTGTGTCGCACCACTAGACTGTACACTACACTAGCAAGCAAGCAGAAACGGTATTCCAATGAGATGTGAAATTTGTGGACTAGCTCTTTGCTGCCGAAGGTCCTTTTCATGAGCTTCCCCAGACAGATCACGAAGAATGTTCACCGTGACCATATCTGCAGAGCACAGCATACGTTGCTGGATGTTTGGTGAAAAGATTCAAGAGCAGGTGCTGGAGAGAACAGCAACATGGATGAAGAGTGAGCATGCTTACCTGAAACCTCTTGTGAAACCTAGTGCACCACGAGTCGTTACAAGATCCACAAACCGTGTCCGTTATGTGTGGAGGCAACATGCTGAGGCAACATGCCATCATCACACCATTGCCCTAGCAATCCAAACTTCAGCAGGCTGCCTGGATCCAAGTAGTCTAGCTCATTTTGCAGAAGGTGGTGCCAAATCCCGCCATCCTCACAGTCATAAGATGTCACAAGTCAAGATGGCGCCATCATCAAAGTTGCAGGGCAGCATCTTGCCATAGATTCTGCCAGAGGCTGACCAGTGATATTAACACTCACTGGGGGTCCGATCAGGCTCGTTACCGCGCTCCATCAAGAACGGCGCCTTGGCACATGGCAAAGTCAGAATTCATGCCCTGATCTAAGAATGCTGCACAAAAGGGGATCCCTCTCCGCCACTTGGCTTCGTCATGCTTCTTAAAGTCTTATCTCAAAGCCAGCAGGATGATTCGAGTGCACTTGGTGTGTTTAAGTTGCTGAGATTTAGCTTCTGTAAACACCTCATGATGTGCGTGCATGCAACCTGTAGTGAAGCCAGAATGGAACGGTATATACTGATGGAGAAAGCCTGCCTTCCTCTCCTTCACGACTTGAGGAAATTTTAAATAAAATGAGCAATAAGCACACAAATAGGTCAGTGTACAAATGCTGTCAGGTTGCATTTGGGTTCATTACTTGGGGATGATGTGAAATGAATTGCTTGGCAGCTTGGTATACAGTTTGTCTGTGTGTATATATATATACAGTATATGTGTGTGTGTGTGATAAACTCCATCCATACATCCATCCATCCATCCATCCATACATATACATATATATATATCATAATACACCTACATAAAATACTTCACTGTACTTGTACTTAAAATTTATATGAGTATATGAGTGTATATATATATATACAAACGTACATTTATCACATACAGTACGTATGTATTATAGATAATCTACACATGCATGCTCATGTATGCAAGATATAGACACATTTGAATTAACACAAGGCTGTCCTCTGTACCTAGTCATTTTGCGCTCAAGTGGTCGGGAATGCTCTCAGGTGACGGCCACTTCAGAGATGCAATTCAACGAATCAATCTTTGAGATTCCTCGGCGCTTGGCTTAGGATAAATCTGGAAACTTGAGGGAAAAAATGTTTGTGTGCATGTGATGCAATTTGCACATACTGTTGCTCCAAATAATCAAGTCGTTGCTGGGTCATCACATGTCTGTGGTCGTTCCAACTCCTTTGGGATGTGAAACAATCCACAGGACAGTTCTCAGGACGCAACGTTTTCCAAAAGAAGGCCTGCTCAATACAAGGTCACCACATTGTGGCACAGGGGATCTCTTCTTCATGAGCAACCCCATGCAAAGCTGAGTGACCTTGACATCGCTCTGAAGAAGTCGCACTCTCTGGTCAGGCCACGCCTCTTTTGCATTGGGAGGCCTTTTAGAATCCCCACCTCGCAAAACTCCACGGCCTCATGCCCGGAGCAAGACATCTATATAAGGCTTGCCGCAGAAACAACTAGCTGCTACAGCCTGACTCTTGCACAGCTTCACAGAAGTCAACGTTGACTTGGGGCCAGGCTCACCATTACCATGCTCTTGACGCGTGATTTCAGCAAGTGCTTTCAATATCTTTCAATCGTGGTGGACGGTGTTCATTTTTCCTTTCCATGTTCCATCAATGTGCTACAGTTCCTGCTGGGGAGTTCTTGCATCGATCCCTTAGACAAAGAGCGCCTTGTCTAGGTCGGGGAACATGTCCAGGAATAAATGCGCCTGCGCAGTTGGCCCGGTTCGGTAGGTTGGCGCCTGTGAACGGGTCAATAAATGTTCAAAGTGAGCTTGGTCAATGACTGCTTTAAATTCCAAAATATATGAATATATCATTGAACAAGCTAAATTAATCCTGGGTGTTTGAAGGTGCTTGTTCTTTTGAGTTGGAAAGAAATGCAAAGTATAATATTACAATTTACAGTAAGAAAACAACTATACAATGTGTTGTTCTCAGCCAGTTCCGTACCGTTCATTAGTTTGAACAACTGCTATAATTCTAGGGATCTATACAAGGCCGCTCAAGAGTAGTGTCCAAAAAGGTGCTAAACAGTGTTGATTGCAAGGAAGATATATATGATATAATCATAGGAGTTGGCAATGCAGACTGGCTGGCAGTGTTATTTTGCGGGCAATCATCGTTTCCTAAAACTGGAAAACGCTAGGTGGAACTTCTTGGAACTCAAAGTTCCTGTGCCGCTGAGCTGAGATGTAGACTCAAAGAAAAGTGGAGTCAGAAAATCCAAGCACGCTGCACTGCAACCACTTCAATTCCATGAGAAAAAGGTACAAATTTCCTGGCTTCTCAGGAAGAAACAGAAAGAATTTTGGTAAAGCGTAGGATTATATTTAAAAGAGACATGCGTCATGCGTCAAGACCATCTATCTTCGCGAAATTTCATAACATACACGTTCCCAAAATTTGACCCAAAGACGCAACATGGCTCGGTGATCGAATGTAATCTCGGCCTGTTGGTGCTGTGCTGCGCCCTCCAAGGACTTCTTCAAGCGCCGGGCCATGCCAGAGAAAATGCACCGAACCTTGCGACGATCTCGTAGCTCCTGCGTCAGCTCGGCCAAGGCACAAACGCCACTGGCCTTGGTGGTGCATTGAGACTCTGCTGGAGCCAGATCGGCTGGAAAAAAATCAAGGTGCTCTTGAACACTGGATCCAAAGGGAGCAAATGATCCAAATGGTTGTGACCCTGGATCTCTTCCAATCATCCCTAGTCCAACTATCTCCAACTGTATCCAACTGCCTTCATCCCCACCACTCCACCATGACAAGTGGCATCAATGGCAGGAACAGAAGTGAAATCTAAAATCACCACAGAGGCCTCGCTACTTTTGATCTTCTCTCGGATCTGGTCAATGACCTGCCGTGCTAAGCTGCATTTTTTTGCTGCAGCTGGGTTCCTACAAAAGCACCACCAAGAACGGTGTCCTGCACTATCCCATTAAGCGGACAAAGGGGATGTCATGCAAGAGACAAATAATATTAGCATGTACAATCCATGTACAATCCATGTATATACTACATTCCGGACTTGAAACCGAAAATATCTGACGTTCCATCTTCCCATTCTGGCCTGGCAGGCCAAGCCGAAGAAAAAGTAGCCGTTCAGCCAAAGAATCTCAAGTTGCACGAAGGCTGCAAGTCCGTTTCTCCCAGGTCAGATGTTTTGATCTGTAACATTCTGACAGATTAGGCTTGAATCACAACTAGGAGGAGGCACTGTACTTTTACATAAAACAAGAAATGCCGGCAAATCAATTGAAGAAAACAAGAGCGTGAGAAAGTAATGTTGGCTCTACTTTGAGGTTTATCATCAGAGTACATCATGCCATCGCCACGATTCAGGCGAGGCACCAGCGTAGATCCGCCGTGTTTTTTCAGAAGGGCGTGCTCCGCTTCGGAGCGCTCGACCCTGGATCGACTCCTGGGCCGTGACAAGTCCAGTGCAACAGTGGCAGCTGCAGTGACGCTTTGAGGCTGTGTCACAGCCGCTTGAAAGCATTCGAAAATGACATACGATCTGTTAAAAGTACTTTATAAGTTTCAGTTACAGTTATAATGTTGTAATGTTTTATAACGTTTCATAGTTTTCTAGATCCTAATCTTCACAATTGACTCGCCATTCAAGCTGCAAGCCAAACTCCAGTGTTTAGAGCAAATCACCAAGGCCCTGACTCACTCAAGGTGCTCTCGTGAGCAATGCCAGTGACGTTCATGTATTCGAACGCAAACCATGCCTCAGGAATCACTGCCATAGGGGCATAGCATGGCATAGCCGCTAAGGCAGCTACAAACCATTGAGGGCCCGACAAGCGTGCAAAACAGTCCAAAAAGAATTCCGAGAGTAACGTTGATGACCTCGTTTCGACAGAAAGGCTGGAGATGTTGGAGCTTTTGGCTCACTGTGTTTCAATCATCACTAATCCTATCACCTGTTGAAACTCTTCTGAAGCAGTCTCTATATATATATACCAGAAGAACGCTTCAAATCATGTTCTACTATGCAGCATATGTCCCGTCCCAAGAATCAAACATGGTACACCTGTCTCAATGAGGCTGTAGCACTTTGTTGGGAAAAATTGCTGTATATTGAATCAGTCTATTCACACCTGTGTTTGCGACCGAAGGAGCTACTGCAAGGGCAGTTGCCAGCAGAACAAGCCACTCCTGGCTAGAGAGCAGCACTACGTGTTGGCGGCATGACTGCCCATATCTGTTACTGCTGTGACTGTTGTGCCATGGCAAAACTGTGTTTCAAGAGCCAATTATGGGAAGTTAGGCGAAGTTGCAGTTTCACAGAGATCCAAATAAAGCTGTTGACACTTTTCATTTCATGGATTTTCAGAGTCGAAGTCCCCCGCTTGTCTCACCATCGTATACATCACAGAAAAGTAGCCAAAGACAAAGAATATTTTTGGGTGTCCCAAAACCACAACAATTTTAACTCTGCGATCACCTATCCCCTCCTCAGCAGATACGCGGCGGCGTGCATCCAACAACCACTCATTGATGAGGTCGCAGGCGAGCCGTACCACAGTGCCTGTACCAATGACACCAAATCAGGCAGGAAACAGGGCTGGATTCTGGAGACCAAATTAATGTTAATGAAGTTATGTGAAGTTGACATTCCACCAACATTCAAGACCAGTCCACAAAGTCCAACTGATACCGATTTCGAGAAAAAAACAAGATGAAACCCACGAACCCGAATGCTCACACGTATGTTAATGGTACAGATGTCAAAACACATGGTTATGCAGTCACGCACAATACCTTTCTGCAATAGTTTATTTGAACAGTTTTGTGCATGTTTCCCTTGTTACCAGTCTGCAGTGTGGAGTGGAAAGTGTAGAGTGTGGAGTGTGGAGTGTGAAGTAAGGAGTGTGGAGTGTAAAGTGTGGAGTGGGGAGTGTAGAGTGCGTAAAGTGTAGAATGCGGAGTGTAAAGTGTAGAGTGTGGAGTATGGAGTGTAAAGTGTAGAGTGTGGAGTGTAGAGTGTGGAGTGTGGAGTGTAGAGTGTGGAGTGTGGAGTGTAGAGTGTAAAGTGTGGAGTGAGGAGTGCGGAGTGTAAAGTGAGGAGTGTAAAGTGAGGAGTGTAAAGGGTGGAGTGAGGAGTGTGGAGTGTAAAATGAGGAGTGTAAAGTGTGGAGTGAGGAGTGTGGAGTTTGTAAATTGTAGAGTGTGAAGTGTAGAGTGTAAAGTGTAAAGTGTAGAGTGTGGAGTGTAGAGTGTAGCGTGTGGAGTGTGGAGTGGAAAGTGTAGAGTGTGGTGTGTAGGGTGTGGAGTGTGGAGTGCAAAGTGTGGAGTGTGGAGTGTGGAGTGTAAAGTGTAGAGTGTGGAGTGTGGAGTGTAAAGTGTGGAGTGTAAAGTGTGGAGTGAGGAGTGTAAAGTGGAAAGCGTGGAGTGTAAAGTGTAAAGTGTGGAGTATAGAGTGTAGAGTGTAAAGTGTAGAGTGTGGAGTGTAAAGTGTGGAGTGTAAAGTGTAGAGTGTGAAGTGTAGAGTGTAAAGTGTAAAGTGTAGAGTGTGGAGTGTAGAGTGTAGCGTGTGGAGTGTGGAGTGTGGAGTTGAAGTGTGGAGTGTAAAGTAAGGAGTGTGGAGTGTAAAGTGTGGAGTGAGGAGTGTAAAGTGTGGAGTGTATAGTGTGGAGTGAGGAGTGTAAAGTGTGGAGTGTGGAGTGTAAAGTGTGGAGTGTGGAGTGTGGAGTGGAAAGTGTGGAGTTGAAGTGTGGAGTGTAAAGTAAGGAGTGTGGAGTGTAAAGTGGGGAGTGTGGAGCGAGGAGTGTAAAGTATAAAGTGTAGAGAGTGGAGTGTAGAGTGTAAAGTGACGAGTGTAAAGTGTGGAGTGAGGAGTGTAAAGTGTGGAGTGTGGAGTGTAAAGTGTGGAGTGTGGAGTGGAAAGTGTGGAGTGTAAAGTAAGGAGTGTGTAGTGTAAAGTGTGGAGTGTGGAGTGTAAAGTGTAGAGTGTGGAGCGTGGAGTGTAAAGTGTAGAGTGAGGAGTGAGGAGTGGAAAGTGCAGAGTGTAGTGTAAAGTGTGGAGTGTCGAGTGTAAAGTTTCAGGTGAGGAGTGAGGAGTGAGGAGTGTAAAGTGCAAAGTGCAAAGTGTAAAGTGTGGAGTGTAAAGTGTAGAGTGTGGAGTCTAAAGTGTAAATTGTGGAGTGTGGAGTGTAAAGTGTAGAGTGTGGAGTGCGGAGCTTCCCCCATAGACACGGCGACGCCACAGGAAAACCAGAGACTCGAGACGAGACACGTGGGTGCAAAATAACGAGCATTTCGTGCGAGACTTCCTCCAATATTGATATTTTCGACACGTTATCAAACAGGTAGGAATGTCACAAAGTGCCACCCCTGCCACGCAAAACGACATGACAACCTGCTTGGACACATTCGAATAGGAGATGTTTTCCAGCTTCCCCCATAGACACGGCGACGCCACAGGAAAACCAGCGACTCGAGACAAAACACGTGGATGCAGAAAAACCAGCATTTCGTACGAGACGTCCGGCAATTTTCACAGTTGGCAACATGACAAAAGGACAGGTTTTGCAGCTTCCCCCATAGACACGGCGAAGCCACGGGAAAACCAGAGACTCGAGACGAGACACGTGGGAGCACCAAAACGAGCATTTCGTACGAGACTTCCTCCAATTTTCAGACTTTGTAGCTTCAAAATCGACGTTTTCCTACGAGTTTTCCTTAGAACATGAAAATTTGCAACCTCAAAATCGATGTTTCGTGCGAGGCTTCCGTCAATTCTCAGCACATGTCACAAAATGCCACGCCTGCCACGGAATTTGCACCTTGTCGCCATTTAACGCAGCCCTGCCAATGCGATTTGCAAAAAACACGCAACGCGACACGTCTAAAGTGCTGCGCCTGCCACGAAAAATGACGATGGACACGTCCAAAGTGCTGCGCCTGCCACGAAGACTGCAACACATCTTCTGAAAACGTCGCAAAAGCATTGCGCCTGCCACGCAAAACGACTTTCGACACGTTGCAGAACACGTCTGAATGTCACGAAGTGCCACGCCTGCCACGCAAAACGAAGCAACGACACATTAAAAACCTCCAAAGATGACCACCTCTGCAGAACTTCCCATAGGCACGGCCATCCGGAGTTCGTACGGACGGTTGCGAACGGTTGCGGACGGTTGCGACCACAAACGCAACGTCGAGCGAACACACCCTCAACCCCCAGACCCCCAGAGTGAAACGGGAACCCTTGCTACGCATTCGGGAAAAAGGGCCGCAAAGCCTAAGGACAGTCTGCGGCTCAAAGCCCAAGCGTGAAATCATGGACTTCATGAGCGATTGTGCCGCAGCATTGAACTGACCGACATGTTGGCCAGTCGGTCGTGCCTGCAAAAAGAAATCGGGGGACAGTCTGTACAATGCTCCGCGGCGAGCAAAGGAACAGCAAAACGTTCATCACCACGTTGAAGTACGGCCAATTTGGCCCGGACCTTCGTCGTGCGGCAGAATGTCATAAAACGACAATATCTCAGCATGGTATGAATATGAACTGTTAGCAACTATCAACTAATGAAGGATTCTGATGTCTTGCAAATAATTTGGCTTGCACACACTTGGAATTAAACTCTGCTCTCTGCATCTTTCCCAATACATTCAATACATTCAATACATTGTCAACATTTGTCAACCTTCGCTTCCCTGACCTGACGCTGCGCATGATCATGGGGATCTTGAAGGACTGCATAGAGCAAAGTCCGCCACAGGATCCTAGTAGGACGTTGGTCACACCGAGGCTTCGTATCCTTGGGACATCGTGGAAACACGGTATTTGGCACCGATCGGTTTGGGATGTCTTCTTGACTTCTGCGGTGATCAAAGGTTGCAGGATTTCTTTCACTACGGATCTGATGACCTATAAGTTTGCCATGAGCTTCAATGTACATTTCAATATATTTCATAATGCTTTGGCACAAATGCAAAGCCGCAAAGCGATGCAACTTGCATCAGTGCATGAGATTCGAACTGTCTTTCACCCAGCTTCTCATCCTGTTCATCACAGCGTTCCAGGCCAGGCCGTAGGGGAACCAATTTTGCCACAGCCAGGGTGTTGATGCTCCAAGAGACAGTCATTATGACTACCTTAGCGCCACTTAATGCTCTTTGGTCCAGAGGATATAGACATTCAATATCATTCGCTGCGATTGCAAATTCAGCTTCCGATGCAGGTTTGGAAAAAGAGAAAAGATCATGAAGCAAACTATATTTCACTCAGCTTGAGGAAGAAACACAAGTCCCATGTCCAAGAGAAACCCATGCAATTGCATTTCCTCGTGTCGCAATGAAGAGCGCAATCAAGTCCGCTGATTTTCACCTTGACCTTTTCACATGCAATTGTGACTTTGTCCAAGTTGCAAAGCCACCCATGAATTCCAAATCTGCAACAGCGGTCTTTTCGTAGCTTTGGTGGAAACCATCCCGAACACGCTCCTCAGCTTGGGAGCTGTCATACGACATACACAGGCACAGGCCTCAGGCACATGACACGAATTGTCTCGTTCTTGATTAGTTGTCTCTAAACAGCACCTCTGTGGCAATGGAAAAAAAACTGGTGCCAAAAGAAAAAAGAGACGGTCCCTCCGTACAAGGAAGGCCTGCGCATGTTACAGTATTTACAGTACTACCACATCCTCCAAGCTTCGAATGGTTCCCACCTTAGCAGAACACTTCCAAGTTTGGAGAATTCTCACGATTTCAAATTTTCTCAATGCAAAGCCAGAAGTAGCATCTTCTCACAACCATCACAACCAGCTCTTCCCACAAGAGAAGTTTGACGGACGAAGAAGAATGCTAAATGGCTAAATGGAACAAACTCTACTGTACATCCGTACATACTCTCACCAAGAATCTCAATCCCTTTTCATATCAAATATTCCACAAGGCTGTGGCTGAACGGCTGAACGTGCGAAGACTCATGTCACTAATCGAGGTTCGGACCAACTCACAGGGTCTGGAAAGTCCAAAAACCAGGACCTCGCGACAAGATCTTTACCACACATCTCTACAGCACAAGCGAGGCTGCCAATTGCAAATCAGAACCTCCATCATTTCATTTGAAAATGGACCATTGGACCACTCTTTCCAATTCATGAAACTGAGATTTGGATGTCAAACTGCAGTACTAGTTGCTGTTCTGTTTTCATGGGTCATTAAATGTCCGCATTGAACATCACCCAACCATTAGGTATATGGTCTATAATGGCTACTATAAGGTGATGTCCAATATTCCCAAAATGGGACAGTTACCAACCCCTGGTTTTGGTTGCCCTTAAATGTCTTCTTTTCCTTGTCCGATTCCCATGTTCTTTCCGTTGGCGTCATTGTCTTCGTTGGTGGCTGCTGTCCCATGCTCTCCCATCTTCAGCAAGCCTTGGGGGCAAGGTCCCATTGGAGAAATTGTCCAGCGTCATGCTCAAGCCAACCGCTCCCACCATCACCAAAGGCGTGCTGAAGGTGTGCCATTCTCGCACCTCATGGTTTCATGAAGAGATCATAGTCATTGAGTGGTGATGGCGTGCTTGAAGGCACTAAAGTTCCAAACAGGGTGACCGAAGAATGAGAGATTCATTGTTGACGTCTCTGCTTTGATCTTGAGTATAGAGAAACAAGGTGCCAAAGACGATGCAGAAGAGTTGTCAAGAGATTGGCTCCAGCCAACTCAGGTGTTTAATTCTTTTACACCCATGCGGCGCGTATACAAAAGACACGTGTGTGGACATCCTATTTTCTCAGCAAAGTGACGTCAAGACGAGATTTTCTGATGTTGTTTCAAGTCTCTGCCAAGTCACAAATTCAAGCAGTGCTGAGAAAGTGATGGACAGAATCACCCTCAGAGTGAAAGACGGTGAAGCTGGAGTGAAACGGTCGTTCTCATGATAAAAGGGAGGGAAATGCATGCATACCATCAGAGCAATCAAGACCATCGTTTCTTGCCTACTAGGCTTTGCATGGTAGGCCTACCAATGTACCAATCCATAAGTGCTATCTGAAACTGCATGTTCAGAAAGAAATGACTATAGTGCACGACTGGAACTTAGAATGACCTCCAGGTTTCCAAAACTTTTATCATAGACACTTAGAATGACTCGGTTTCGTGGGCATGCTAAGTGTTTGAAACCTGCAAAAATACACATAATGTAAAATTCTAGATTTCACTGCTTTTTGATGACATTTTCCCAAAAAACAACTATCGAAACCCAAAATTGATGACCCTTCCAGATTATTCTCACTTTTTTGTTCATCCACTTACTACCCTTTCGAGGGTCATGCTAAGTGTATGAAACCTGCAAAAACACACATAAATTGACTTGCAACACTTTTGCAGCCCCAAAAAAGTGGTTCCAACTGTCTCTACAAGATATATTTATGGGAACTGGTTATATGCTTGTAACGCTGAAAGTGCTGACCCTTTAGCTGCTAAATATTTGCATATATTTGCTAAATAGGCGCTGAATAGTTGCAGAGTAGTTGCTGAATAACTGCTAAATAGTTTCGAAATAGATGCTAAATTGTTTCTAAATAGTTGCTGAATAATAGCTGAATAGCTGCTAGGTAGCCACTAAACAGCTGCCAAATGGTTACTACATAGCTGCTAAATAGCTGCTAAATGATTGCTAAGTAGATGATAAGTAGAGGCTAAATAGCTGTTAAATAGCTGCTAAATAGCTGCTAAATAGATGCTAAATAGCTTCTAAATAGCTGCTGAATAGCTGCTAAGTAGCAGCTAAATAGTTGCTCAATAGCTGCTAAATAGCTGTTGAACAGCTGCTAAATCTCTATTCAATAGCTGCTAAATAGCTGCCAAATATTTGCTAAATATTTGCTGAATAGTTGCTCAATAGTTGCAGAATAGTTGCTAAATAGCTGCTGAATAGCTGCTGAATCAGTGCTAAATAGCTGCTAAATAGTTTCTACATAGCTGCCACATTGTGACTAAGTAGCTACGCAATAGCTGCTAAATATTTCCTAAATAGCTGCCAAATGCCTTCTAAATAGTTCCTAACTAGCTGTCAAATTGTTATTAAGTAGTTGCACAACAGCTGCTCCATAGCTGCTAAAAAACATTTAAATAGCTGCTAAATACGTGCTAAGTAGCTGCTAAATATTTTCTAAATAGCTTGTAAATAGTTGCTAAACAGTTGCTGAATACATGCTAAATAACTGCCAAATAGAAACCAAATAATGATTAAATAGATTTGAATAGCTCCTAAATAGCTACTAATAGCTGCCAAATAGTCACTAAATAGCTGCTAAATAGCATTTGAACAGCTGCTAAAGAGCTGCTGAATAGCTGCTAAATAGCTGCTAAAGAGTTGTAAATAACTGCTAAATAGCGTGCACATAGCTGCTAAATAGTTTCTAAATAGCTGCTCAATAGTGACTAAATAGCTGCTAAATAGCTGTTAAATAGCTGCTAAACAGCTGCTGAGTAGTTGCTAAATAGCTCTTAAATAGCTGCTAAATAGTTGTTGCATAGTTGCTAAATAGCTGCTAAAAAGCTGTCAAATAGCTGCTAAATCTCTGAAATATTTGCTGAATAACTGCTAACTCCTTTCTAAATAGCTGCTAAATAGTTACAAAATTGCTGCTAAATAGCTACTAAATATTTTCTAAATAGATGCCAAGTCTAAATAGCTGCTCAAGAGCTGCTAAATAGAACAAGGAGGTAAACCACATTCTAAGTGTTGAAAACCTTCTAAATATCAGTAAATTCAAAAAAACACCGGGTGCCTGATCTTTTGCTTATGTTTTTGCATCATTCTAAGTGTCAAACCGTTCGCACATAGCGTGGTGGGAAGATGATTTCAAAAGTGTAAGGTGCCCAAAACGTGAGTTTTGGCTTATCCGGTGGTGCGGCGGCTTCCAAAACTATATTCTACGTTCCTAAATAGCTGCCAAATACGTTCTAAATAGCTGCTAACTAGCTGTCAAATTGTTATTAAGTAGTTGCACAATAGTTGCTCCATAGCTGCTAAATAGCTGCTACATAGCTGCAAAATTCCTATTAAATAGGTTCGCAATAGCTGGTAAACAAGTTTAAATGGCTGCTAAATACGTGCCAAGTAGCCGCTAAATATTTTCTAAATAGCTGGTACATAGTTACTGAACAGTTGCTGAATACATGCCAAATAGCTGCCAAATAGAAATCAAATAATGATTAAATAGATTTGAATAGCTCCTAAATAGCTACTAATGGCTGCCCTAAATAGCTGCTGAATAGCTGTTGAACAGCAGCTAAATAGCTGCTGCATAGCTGCTAAATAGCTGCTAAAGAGTTGTAAGTAACTGCTAAATAGCTGCTAAATAGTTTTCAAATAGCTGCTCAATAGTTAGTAAATAGTTGCTGAATAGCTGTTAAATAGCTGCTAAATAGCTGCTAAATAGCTGCCAAATAGTTGCTAAATAGCTGCTAAATAGCTGCTAAATAGCTGATAAATAGCTGCTAAACAGCTGCCAAAAATCTATTCAATAGCTGCTAAATAAGTGAAAAATAGCTTCTGCATAGTTGCTAAATAGATTCTAAATAGCTGCTAAAAAGCTATTAAATAGATGCTAAATAGGTGAAAAATGGCTGCTGAATAACTGCTAACTCCTTTCTAAATAGCTGCTAAATAGTTACAAAATTGCTGCTAAATAGCTACTAAATATGTTTTAAATAGATGCCAAATAGTTACTAAATAGCTGCTAAACAGCTGCTGAATCAATGCTAAATAGCTTCTAAATAGCTGCTCAAGAGCTGCTAAATAGAACAAGGAGGTAAACCACATTCTAAGTGGTGAAAACCTTCTAAATATCAATAAATTCAAAAAAACACCGGGTGCCTGATTTTTTTTGCTTATGTTTTTGCATCATTCTAAGTGTCAAACCGTTCGCACATAGCGTGGTGGGAAGATGATTTCAAAAGTGTAAGGTGCCCAAAACGTGAGTTTTGGCTTATCCGGTGGTGCGGCGGCTTCCAAAACTATATTCTAAGTTCCTAAATAGCTGCCAAATACTTTCTAAATAGCTGCTAACTACTAGCTGTCAAGTTGTTATTAAGTAGTTGCACAATAGTTGCTCCATAGCTGCTAAATACGTGCCAAGTCGCCGCTAAATATGTTCTAAATAGCTGGTAAAAAGCTGCTGAACAGTTGCTGAATACATGCCAAATAGCTGCCAAATAGAAATCAAATAATGATTAAATAGATTTGAATAGCTCCTAAATAGCTACTAATGGCTGCCAAATAGTCACTAAATAGCTGCTGAATAGCTGCTGAACAGCCGCTAAATAGCTGCTGAATAGCTGCTAAAGAGTTGTAAATAATTGCTAAATAGCTGCCAAATAGCTGCTAAATAGTTTCTAAATAGCTGCTCAATAGTTACTAAATAGTTGCTGAATAGCTGTTAAATAGCTGCTAAAAAGCTGCTAAATAGTTGCCAAATAGTTGCTAAATAGCTGCTAAATAGCTGCTAAATAGTTGCTGAAAAGTTTCTAATAGCTGCTAAATAGCTTCTAAATAGATGCTGAATAGTTGCTAAATAGCTGCTAAACAGCTGCTAAACAGCTGCCAGAAAACTATTCAATAGCTGCTACATAGCTGAAAAATAGCTGCTGAATAACTGCTAACTCCTTTCTAAATAGGATATTCACAAAATAGCTGCTAAATAGCTAGTAAGTATTTGCTAAATAGATGCCAAATAGTTACTAAATTGCTGCTAAATAGCTGCTGAATAAATAACTGCTAAATAGCTTCTAAATAGCTGCGCAAGAGTTGCTAAATAGAACAAGGAGGTAAACCACATTCTAAGTGTTGAAAACCTTCTAAATATCAGTAAATTAAAAGAAAATGACCGGTGCAGAATTTTTTGGTGATGTTTTTGCATCATTCTAAGTGTCAAACCGTTCGCACATAGCGTGGTGGGATGATGATTTCAAAAGTAGAAGGTGCCCAAAACGCGAGTTTTGGCTTCTCCGGTGGGGCGGCGGTTTCCAAAACCACATTCTAAGTTTCAGTTGTGTACTATATATAAAGCCGGGTTTGCTGGGGCAATGCACTCAAGCGTATAGCGTATGGTGGAGGCTCGTTTGCAGCACATCAACCTTCCTCATCCTTTGCATCATTTCCCATCTCTTTTTGTGGCACATCCGAAGCCCAATACTCTTGAAGCAAAGGAGCTGAGCCCAGCTGCCAGTGAGGTTGCTGGCTCCCGCAAGATTTGTGAAAGAAACTAACGACTGTCGAAGGAGGTCCTAAGCTGGAGCTGCATCTAACAATTCCCACAACGCCACATCTTCTGTGCTGGTCTTTTGTTCGGAAGTCTGCAGTTTGCTGTCGTCTTTCTGCATTATCTGACATCACACGGAGATCCAAAGCACCCTGTTACACAAATTGAACATTGGGTAGGTTACCGGTAGGTTCAATGACTGGCAAGAAACCCAAAGCTCCATGCCAGCAGCTAATGACAGGGATTCCTCGAGCAGCTTGACAGGAAAAGCCAAGAGCGGGGCATGAACACCCACTAGTACCAGGTTAAAGTTTAACGATTGAGGTCGCGCAAGACACTCGTCACCAAGCGTAAGATCTATGGCAGTAGCTCTTGTCTTTTCTTTCAATCAAAAACGTTGCAGAAGCCCACCAAACAAAAAGCATGATCCTTTTACACTCAGTGTACCCCATGTGGAAACACCAAGAGATGCAGACAATGTCCATGCCAACTCTGCAAATATGCGTCCCTCTCTGGCCCAGCCTGAAGGATCAGGATGCCACTGCCCGCCAAGAAGCCCGCAACCACGGTGTAGGGTATGAATCGGAGCATCATGGCCTCTGTATGCTGCCACACAGCCCACAGATGCAATTGATGGCGTGCAGAGGACTCTTTCGAACATGAGGTTTCCCGAACTCACTACCAGTAATTACATGAAAATTTGACAAAATAATAGATATCGCGTATTAAAATATCTCCCTGGCTTTACCTGCAGAAGCTTGGCTGCTTTGTGACGTGCCGGAAGCTCATCAACCTTCTGGCATGGCATCATTCCCAACAGGACATGGCCGAAAACCTTCCCTTAAAATCAGAGTGCCCACTCTGTCAAGGGTCCATCCACTATAGTTTAGCATCAGTAGTTTGAAAAATGGACACGCTTGAGCCAAGTGGAAAAGTGTCTGCTACGCCCACCCAGCTATGCCCGCCCGGCTATGCCCGGTCCAAGATGTCCAAGCGGCAAGCTTCAACTTGCCAACAACGTACAGCGCAAGGCCCAAGCACAAGGAGATGAAGGGCATCAAAAGCATCACGTTGCTTAGGATCGTCTCCTCACCCCCTCTGCCACGTCACCAATTTCACTGTCACCAATCAAACGAATCGAACAAGGAATGTTTGCCATGCAGGGGAAACAAAGTAAGCCTTCAATTGTCTCTACCGTGAAGCAAACAGCGAGTAAGTTTCAGAGCTCGGTCCTGACTCTCACCCGTTTGCAGGCGGGCCACCTGCACAGTTCAACATATTCCCAGTGCCCAGCTGGCCCCTCTCCCCATAGCTCCCCGACCTTTCGAGCCAACTGTCCGAAGAGGATGGCCGTTAACGGATCCAGGTTGGTGGTGGTAACAAACTGGCCAATGAACAGAGCGATGATGGATCCTTTCGCGACATCTGCATCCAACTGCAGCTAGAGAGCTGTTGTTGTCTGACATCTAACCAAATTCTCAGCTCTGAAATTTCACTTTCATGCAAACACCTGAAAGAAACTTGCAGCTCAGGCTGTCTTGGCCGATCTTCCCTCCAGCAAAGTGGGCCAGTGAAACCGAAACCAGGTTCCAGGACCAAATTGCTTGACTTCGTCGCCCAGTGATCTGTCTTCTGTGTAGTACGTGCACATCTTCTGCAAAACTGATAGATGCAGCTTGCTTTAGAGGTGGGGCATCTTGGGGGCGCAGCTGTTTTCCGCCGGCCGCCGGACAGGTTTCTGGCTGATTCCGCCGTCCGCCGGCCGGTAGTTTTGGCTGATTCCGCCGGCCGCCGGATGGGGACGTGGCTGATTCCGCCGGCCGCCGACTCCGACAGGTGGTTTGGGGCATCACTGGCTGATTCCGCCGGCCGCCGCGCTGGCTGGCTGGCTGGCTGATTCCGCCGGTTGTTGGAGTTGGCTGGCTGATTCCACCGGCCGCCGCGCTGGCTGGCTGGGTGGCTGGCTGGCTGGCTGGCTGGCTGACTGATTCCGCCGGTTGTTGGCTGATGGCTGTGGTGTGGGGCATGGCTGCCTGATTCCGCCAGCCGCCGCGCTGGCTGGCTGGCTGGCTGGCTGGCTGGCTGATGCCGCCGGTTGGCGGGGTTGGCTTAGCTGATTCCGCCAGGGTTCAGGGATCCATCTTTTTTGCGTGCGCCCTTGGACAGGATTTCACCTCCTATTAGGCTAGACATCCCTGCGCAAGTCTTCCGGTGGATGTCTTGATGGCCATGGTATCTCCTAGTCTGCGTCCCAGCCGCAAGGTCGGGTCACTTTTGTCTGCGACTGAGATGGTGATAGCATAATGGCTCTACCATCCTCAAGCTGCTTGAGTCTACGGTCTGTCGATCTGTTTCGGCAGTGGAACCCTAAAGTATCTACAGCTTTGCAGGGATTGTCATTTTTATCATTTTTTCCCCGAGCAGGGAATCTGTTAGAAGCAGCTCAAATGTTTTATACCTCCAATGCCGAAACCTTGCTAGTGAGTCACCGGGCCATGAACACCATTTGGTTGGAATCGGTTCATACTGCGCGAAATTCACGAAAACATGTCTAGCAAAAAGAATTTGCCCTTGAGCACATGAAGGCCCAGCCGCTCGACCCTCTCATGTCTCTGGGTCTGGCACCCATGGCGCGCAATGGCCCGGGTCAGACACCTCCCTGTTGAAGGCATCGTTGGGCAACATGGAGGTCAGCCTTCGGATCCACACAGAACTTGCGCTACGGAAAAGGCTTCAGATCGCCTCGGCAACTCAGTGACCCCCAGAATTCTGTGGCAAACGTTCAATCGGATCCTTATGTTTATGTTTAAAGTTTTGATTTTTAAAGCTAGTTATTGTTTATGTTTAAATTGATGTTCATGACTTTTTGGATTTGTGGCCTGTAGCCGTGTTGATTGTTTCCGGGTGGTTCCAATGTACAAGTACCGGATATGTTCATGATAATTTGTGCTACTTTTTAGCATGATTGATGAGTTGCATGGTATGCGGAAATGGTTCTACAAACATCATCATCATTTGCATGTCAATTGCTTTTTCACTACTATGGTGATATTCTCATCAAGTTCGTCATGATGCGTTGCAATCATTATGCAAGGTCATCATCATGCTCAACATGTGAGAAGTTTAGTATGTTTAGGTAAGGACCGCTGGCGTGAAATTTTGGACATGTTGGAAGTTCTCTCATCCTCAACCAACTCGGGCGAAAGCATCGGGGTCTGCGAACTTCCGGTCCACTTGGGCATAACAAGTTCTGTTGGACAAGTTCTGATGATGATGCTGATTGATGATGATGATGATGATGAGGAGGAGGAGGAGGACGGTCATCATGATGACGATGATCATGATGATGATGGTGTAAACGCCATGCCTGACTGGAATCATGATAGAAACATCGAAACATCGTCATATCAGGCACCTTTCTGCCATGCCAACAACATTGCGTCCATGCTGTCACCCCACGTCCCCCGCCACCGGCGGCCCTGTGCACGCCTGGCGTTCCAAACGCCGTTCCAAATCCCTCTGCGACTCGGCGGCGACGCGGTGCTGCGCCTGGTTCGATTGTTTTCGCTGGGGATCGACATGTGGCATATGGATTTTTAACTTCGGAATCATTCGGATATGGAAAGTTGGAACATGCCTGCGCAAATGCATATTTACATATCCAACCCTATACCCCGTCTGATGCATATATCGTTTTTGTATGCTATATATTGCTGTATGGTCTATCCGTGTCTTGCGACACAGCATACATGAAAGTATTGATTCATACATAGCTAAAGTGAGCCAAATCCACATTCACTTCTTCGCGCAAGATCTTGCAGCAGGTAAATGAGAACGCACAAGATAAGTGGTGTTGAAGTCCTTTAAGTTTGTAGTAGCGCCAAAGGCCATGACCAAACATCATAATTCCAAAGCTTGTTTCAACGGCCCTGGAAACATCTGTAGAGCACCCTCTGCCTCACATGTGTCCAACTCCCTCTGATTGCAGCTCTTTTCGCTGTCAAAGCCTGAGGCAAAACTTGCGATGCCGCAAGAAGCAAACGATTCGGATGGTTTCTGAGGGAACCAGTTCAACCGGCTCTGGGTTAAACAGAAACATGGCCACACACTCAAAACCTTATATGAGACCATGACAAAACATGACAGACCAACCATGAACGGACAAGGGGATACCTATCAACATCATTTGCCCAAGACTGCTCGTCATTGATGGCGCAAGCCCATCAGCTACCAATCAACGCAGGTGTCTGGACTCATGAGCTTTGCATTGCATCGTACAATGGGTCCCATGGTTTGGGCGTATAGCGGGGTGCATGACATTTTGCCCTGGCCATGGCCACCACCGCCAGCTTGTTTTTTTCACAAGGGTACCTGGACACTAGGAGTACGTCTGCAAGTACATTGTATATAGATATTTATTGCCTTCACTTTCGCACACTCAACTGGACAGCACGCAGCAGTCTTTTTGACACGTTGGGGATTTCGCTCGCCACGGGAAGCACTGATGGTGGCGCCACTGGAGGTAGATGGAGCGCTGTAGCTGGCACAACAGGCGCAGCTTATGGATCTTGACTTGGGTGATGACCAGCCGCAATTGATTGGTGAGAGTACGCAACATGGGAGGCACTCCATAGATGTTGAGATCACGGAGGTCGTCCTCAAGGCCATCAAGTTCGTACAGGCATTGTTCCATTTGTTGTTGAATCCGGTCAATGGCAAGAATGGGCTCCAATAATTGCTGGATGGAGCGTGGAGCTGGGACAACAGCTAAATGCATGGCCGTCGAAAATTTTGAAAAGGAAGTACATGGAACATGAATGCACATGTGATGACGCTGAAACATGTAAGCTTGGTTACCAAAGGGACATGACAAAGTAAGTTGTTTGGGGTGGGGGGAGGGAACGAAAATTTTGGGAAAATTGAGCTGATAACAGCTGTCAGAATGTGTAATGATGTGACTGCAAGCTGTGCCCATGTCCAATTAACATCAAGGAGTGTGACAACTGTACATTACAGTCTTTAGTGTTGTCAATAAAGCCTTATCCCTACGGGAGAAGAACCTTATTGCCTTCACTTTCGCACACTCAACTGGACAGCACGCAGCAGTCTTTTTGACACGTTGGGGATTTCGCTCGCCTTCCCCCACTTTTGGGAGCGGACACATCGTCCATAGTGGTACATCATTTGGTCAAGCATTCATTTGGAGTTTGGGTTGGCTGACTCTTTGATTAGTATTTCATCCACTGTAGCATCGACATCGATGTCAATCTGAAGGTTCACATCGAACCCATCAAGAATCTCCCTTGACGGGAGGTCTGCAATGTTGGCTGCTGATGGAACTCTTTCATACCAAACAACTGATCGAAGGGATTGTTCCCATTCCAAGATGCCTTGAATTATCTGCCCATCAAGGCCAAGTCCACTCCTTCCAGAGATGATTCTACCCAGGACACCATCATTGTCCAAGAAGACCACTATCCTGTCTGCGGGGCTGATCGCTGCTGAGTGCAGTAGGAGTGTGGTTCCAGTCAATGCTGCCAAGGCTTCAAGTTCAAAAATGATGGTATCCTTTCCCAGGGGATTCAACCGAGCGGCTTGGGCTTCTGTCACATGGGCAGAAAAGTATGAAAGCATTTCTCCAAGTTCATTGTAGAGAACGCCACCAAGGCCTCCTTGGCCATTTTCATAGCAGGCGTCAGTATAGAGATGGAAAACTTTGCCAATCCCAGAATCCACCGTGCGAGGCTCTCCCCTCACAACTCTGTCTCTAAGAAACATCAGGCTCACTTTGAGTCCAGCATCGATTGGCGCAGCGCCGACAGCGTGTTCCCACCGGCTGAGGTTTTGCATGTGCAGCCCCGACAGGCGTCCAAATATTTGGCTCTCCGCAAAGATTAAACGACCACGGCGCACTCTCATCTCAGCTGAGGTCAGTTGGCCTCTCTCAAGGATGGAGTCAATGGTCTGAGTCAACTCTGCTGCTCTGGCCGCCACATTGCACACTGAAAAGAGACCGGCTTTGGAATCTGACAAGTCGATCTGTACGCCCAAGATCTTGGATATTGACCTGAACTCGGCCTCCTTTTCTGACGACGTCTCCCATCCCAAAATCTGGAACAACAGACGTTGAGCCATGTCAACATGACGCTCTTCAAGCTCTGATGCCACCAAGAAGTAGTCGTCAAAGAAGACAGTCCAGTGAAGCCCAAAAAGGCTGACACCAATGCGCCAGAGGGCATATGACGTCCTGCAGAAACCCATGACCGCCGCCCTTGCTCCGAATGGAAGCACTAGGGTTTGGAAGGCTTCAGGTTCGCCCGTCTCGGGGTTCATGACGCACAAGTACGCGTCTCCCAGGGCTTCTGTAGCCAGTGGAAGATTTTTGTAAGCCTTTCGCAAATCAATCGTCTTTCCAGTGAGCTTCTCGTGGCCCCAGGAACGATCTCTGTATACCATTGTTGCAAGGATGGAATCCACAGCCATTGGTTGGATCGATTCAGCACAAGAGTTTGTTGAATTGACCAAACTCTCTGAAAAATCATCAATCGGTCTCACCTTCATTGTGCGACTTCCGTCTGATAAGGTGGATGACTGCTTCACTCCAAACCTCCTGGTCAAGATTGCCTCCTTGGGGAGATCCTGGGGTGCAAACGGGCCCCGCAGCCAGCCCTTGTCTCTTTCCTCGAGGGTGATGCGGTGCACTTCAACGGCGACTTCTGGATCCATGATCTTTTTGGCCGCCTCCCAAATTGCCGGTCTGGCAACATCAGCCATGCGCCTAACTTGTTCTGGCAAGAGGGTGGCGTACGAGGGCCTGTCTGGGTAGATTGACCCGGTTGGTATGTCTCCCATCAAGTTGAAGCCTCGGGCAACGTCCTTGGCCAGTCCAATGTCTGGAGATCCAGAGGCACTGATCATCTCCTCAAACAGTTTCAAGTTTTTCTTGGCTAAGATGGCCTTGGCATGGCAGGGCGAGTCACCTTTGCCATCTTCTACGCCTCTAGCCAGTTCAGACGCTCTGGTTATCCATTTCCTCATCTGTTCAGATCGTTCTTTCGCCCTGCAAGAAAGTGATTTGTTGGCTCCACTGTAAAACATGCTCTTGAGTACTGGGTGTACACCGTCGAGGAAATGGCCTGGGTGTGATCGGCCTGCCGCTCTTGCAATGAATGCTTGTGGTGTCCACGCAATTCCATAGACTGTCTCCCATCTGTCAAATTCCGCTTTCTCCCCCACTTGGTAAGGAAGTTTGATGCGTTTGGCTTGAGCAGGAATGTAGGAGCTGTGTGGCGACGTTGTGCAAGTAGTGGGAACTGGAGTATCACTGTTGCACTTAGTAGGAAGCTCGGTTAGGACGCACTGGGGCCCTTGTATGGTTAGGAAATAATCATACTCCCTCATGAGGGGTTTGAGCTTCTTGCCACGAGGTTGTGTGCCAGTTGCCACTTTGCTAGCCTGCACCAAAGAGATGTCGCTGTTGGGAACGAGTTCTTGAGGCGACTCAATGGCACCAAGGGAAAGGAAACATCTGTAAAGACATTGTGCCCAAGCTTGGCAAAGCTGATGTGGATATTCCACTTCGGTTGCAGTTGCCCAACTGCCGGAAGAGGTGACTCCCCAGGCATCATGTGGGTGGTTGCCATCACATTCGAGGCCTAGTGGTGCTAAGCAATGGTGATTGCAAAGTACTTTGGTACGTTTCCGCCTTGTTGCCCCATACATGCAGTGATGGAATTCAACAGAGTATAGTTGAAGGCCATATAGGTGCTTCTGCATGTAGGAGGTGGCCCAAGCATGGCTGCGAAGTGGGTTCTCAATGGATGCTATGATACCATTGGCTGTGGCCCACTCCATGACCTGGCTGCAGAGTAGGTACAGTCGGTTGGCTGCACGCACTTTCTCCAAAGATGCACCTGTCAGTGTACAGAGTCCATCTGGGTGAGCTGTAGAATGTAACGGTGGCGGATTGTACCGCCGCTTGTGTTTGATCTCTCTGGCTCGGCTTGAAGTGCCGCAGGGAGGCCCCATGTGCACTGCAGCAATGTTGTCGTTCTGCAAGATTCGCCATAAAAGAGTCTGGCCAGTTTCTTCGGCAAGGTTGATTCGTATGACTGGAGATTTGACTTGCTTGGTGACGTGTGCGTCGATGCCAATGGATTGTGTCAACCCCATTCTCCTGACGGCTGCTGTCAGACCACCTGTACCAGAAAAAATTTCGATTGTAAAGAGCCGGGACATTTGTTTGCCTGATATCCGGGCTGCAAGCTTCGCTTGAAAATTATCTGTAGGAAAATTTGGTGTGGGAACACTTCGGTTACCAGAAGATTGCATTGAAGGACCTGCACTTACAGAAGTCACCTGTTGGAGTGGTCGGTTCTTGGCAGAATTCTTGGATTGCTTCGGCATTATAGGGCCCACAGCCTGCCCCTCGGCAGTACGTTTGCAGGCAGGATGCCTTGGACTAGCTGGTGCTAGTCAGGCGTTGGGTTTGGATGGACACTCATAAGCTGGATGTGTCCCCAAGCACCGCATACAATAATGCCCACCTTAAATTAAGCTGATAACAGCTGTCAGAATGTGTAATGATGTGACTGCAAGCTGTGCCCATGTCCAATTAACATCAAGGAGTGTGACAACTGTACATTACAGTTTCTTTAGTGTTGTCAATAAAGCCTTATCCCTACGGGAGAAGAACCATATGTATGTGTACCCACATGTCAGTCTAAGCAACGCTTGCAATTATGTAGTTGCATGGTGTTGTCTATTGTTTTTATCTTGGTTTATCCATATAGAAGTAACCAACCAGGCATGAACAACCGGCACACATATCTCTAACCTGTACAAGTGAATTTCCGTTGATGTTAAGGGAACGGTGGTTAATTCCTTCATGCCTCCAAACTGTACGGGTACCCATGACCTGTGATAGTACCAGTGTCAGTGAATCTTAGGACCCACAGATTAGATGATCAACGTGCGTTATGGTCGCTAAAACTCAGGGAAGAAAGCGAAACAAATGTACAAGAATGGGTGCATTTTTCCCTTGTAACGTTAACACGAAGAACAAATTTTTCAACAACTCCGCGCAACGCGCTTGGCGGGTTTGGATGTCTGTGGATGCCTGCTCGCTGTGAACCTCATGCAGTATGACACAACCGGTGTAAAGGTGAACTCATCCCATGACGCCAAGGCTCGGTCGTCGAAGTTCCTGGAGTCAGGGTCTTGCTCGGTGAGTTCCTTGGATTAAGTTGACGCTAGAGAAGGCATCCGGCGGTAAACAGTGGCCCGCGGGCACCCTTGGATTCTGGAATTAATGTTCACTTTGATCTCAGATGAAAACTCAGCGTTCGTTGCAACTGATCGCCCCGCATCATGGGACATCACGTATGCTGCGATGATGGTACGTTTTTTTTGGGAAGAGCGTTGCGTTGAAACTTTCCTTTTGGAAAATTTGTGCTCTCCGAAGTTCAATACCTGTAAAAACATTACAAGTCAGCACAACATCCCAAAGTTCAACCTCACCTAAAAGGCATGTTTAGTTCATAGCATAGCATAGTATAGCATAGCAAAGCATAGCACAGCATGGCATAGCACAGCATAGCGTCGCATAGCATAGCACAAGGAAGAAAACTTTGTGTAGCGGTGCAAGTGGACGGAACCGCAGCCCAAGGGAAAAAAACGTTTCACTTTGCGAGTTCGGCTTGGCCTACCTCAGGTCAGTCACCGTTTTACCGATCAAGGAGCGCTATGTGCGCGTGCTTACGAATAGTGGGTTTCTGACTGTCTGACCTTTCTTTGTTCTGGGTCTGCGTGCTATCTTTTTACACCTTGCGCCACTTCGTCTCGTGAGGGGTTTGAACCCATTTTGGCTCCTCCTGGCTTCGCCAGTTGCTAATCTTCTTGCCTCCAAAATTACATACCACGCAAACTACTTTGCATTGCATAGCTTTGAGCTCGTTCGTGGTCATAGCATGGAGCTCTGCGAAGTGGAACGGGCTGAGTTGATCTCGGCATAAATTGATGTACTTGCGGAAGTTTGTCTGAATGCCGTCCTGGTCCAAGCTGCAAGCCCTTTGAAACTTCAGTGTATTAGGCCCTAAGGCTGTGTTCTCCAAATCCACACCATCTCTCCATAAGTTCCATTCGGCAAAAAACCCGGCCATGTGCGGCATCATCAGGTTCCGTCCGCGGTGAAATCTCGTTGCGCCGAGTGCCTCATATAAAGTTTCTTCGTTGAAAAATTCCGGGAGCACATGGTTCCAAGCATACTCAGCAGCTCCAACAACGTCGCTCAGGGTATAACCAGATAAGTCCGTGTTGTACTTTTGCTTGACACCAGTGCGAAGAAAACGCGGAGGCAAAAATCGCTTTGCGGGATAAGGGTTGCAAGAGCGTTTGTACGCACCAAGTAAATGCAAGAGGTCGGAACTTTGCATACCTCTGCACACGCGCTTTGCTAGCCACTTCGCAAATCCCAGGCTGCGCAAGAAGGCAATCAAAAACAAAGTCACTCGCGTGACTGGCCCCTCATCCATGACTCGAATGATGATATGACCACAACGGGTAATTGTGTCTGTGCGTTTGTTGATGGTGTGGATGAAGGAGCCACGCACCGCTTGGTCAAATGTCAGATAATTATCACCCAAGGTTGCTAACGGATTAGCGATGTCCAAGGCGGTTGTCCAGTTGGGTACAAACCGCAAAAGAATCAGTTCGGCCAACACAATGACTGCAAATGGGATTCTCAACTGCTTTGCCACACACAGCGGACCAAGCTGCTCAAGGACTTGCAGAACTTCCACGAAATCGCCATCGCGCAGTTTCTTCGCTGATTGCACTGCAACTTTCAAGTGGGATGGCACTGGTTTATCCGCCGGCAAGGTTTTCAGAGCTTGGATTTTTTCATGGAGCGGTTTTTCTCGGTTGGGCATGGCGCAGCGCAGCCGTTTCCTAATCTCCTCGAAAAAATCTTTCAACAACTCTTTGACCTTCGGAATTCATCTCTTTAAACATAGCTGTGGCTAAAACATATGGATCAAAACATGGGAAAAATAAACGCACTGTCACGTTGAACTTCAAACATGTTTGAGACCACCAACTAGTCATCAGTTGGTCTGTCATAATTTGCGAATTATTTGTGGACTGACGACATGCGATTGAACTGCTGAAACATAACTGCGCCATTCATGGAAATGGCGAATCACGCCCCCACGGATGATACTTATTTAACACACACTCACCGGGACGAGGGATAAGTGGATTGAACAATCAATATAACAAGAATGATGGCGCTGTTCTCGATTCTGGGTCTCATGTCCTCAGTATCATGTAGGGACCCTAGAAGGGTCTCATATATAAACAAATGTCGCCAATGTTGCACTACATATAACTCTCAGATGGATAGATGGACAGATGGATAGATAGATACGTTGATAGATAGATATAAATAGATACATAAACTGATAGGTAGGCAGATTGGTAGATAGATAAGAAAATAAATAGATAGAAAAATGGATAGAGAGACAAAAATGGATTATGACAACGTGTGTACATGTGTATGTATATATGTTTTTTTTTTTTCGCCCGCACGCTCCTTTTTACCGCATGAAGGTCTGAAGGGGGGGGTCCGGAGTCGCACGCACAGCTTTCGCTGACCAAGTGCCGGGCCACTTGGAGTTTGGCATAAGTCCAATGCCAGGGGTGCCCCCTCAAGGTCGTATAGGGAGGCGGGATGCCTGGGGCAGGGGGGTGGGGGTGCAGTGCTGGAGGAGGGTGCTCAAGGGGATGGCTTCGCCATCTGGGCCGGTGTGGGTTGCCGGGTCTTGCATCGTGAGACTGGCTGCAAAAGGAGCTTGGGCTGCCTGGGTCAGTAATGCGGACCATCTCGCGATGGATGCCTGGATGGCAGCTGGTCGCAGAGCCTGGGGGACTGCTCTGCTTCTGGCTTGCGCAAGGCGCCGAAGGAAGTCCGCAGCTTCTTCGCTCCATCGCCCTCCGACTTCCATGGCCAAAACGACCAGGCGACAACGGTCTCCCCGCACAAGTTCTGGGTATGTGCGTTCTTTAGCTTGTCTTGCTGCCCGTAGGGCGGGGGAGCCGGGGTGGCGACCCTGTCGGCGGGGTTCCCCAGTGCTGGTCAAGGGAGAGACCAGGGTCGTGTCCACTGCCAACTGTGCCCCATTGTACAGGGGGAGTCCATGCGCGATGACCTCGATCCGCCGGTTGTCAAGCCTGCTGGTTGTTGTGACATTGAGGTCTGTGACGAGGACGTGTGTCCGCACTCTGGCGCCAGCTTCTCTGCATACCCGTGCTGCTGCCCGTTCTAGAGGGCCTGCTCTACTCCGCAATGCCCCCGATGTAGCACATGCCGCGCGGTGGTCGCCAAAGGAGTCAAGAGGGCGACGGCACCGGCAGTGACGAGCTGTCAAGGGAAGGGGGAGGCGGAGGCGCCTCAACAGCAGGACCCGGAACAAATCGGACGGGTATGTGAAGTCTGGGCTGGAAGGGATGGTTGTGAATGCCCGGCTGGCGAAAGCTCCGGCCTGGGAGCGGAGCATTGCTTGGGCGGCCGGAGTGGATGATGCCAGGAGTTCGGTGTGGCAACTGGTGTGGATGGGTGCCGATGCTCGGTGTTGCCACCCACGGCTCGCCATTGGTTCTTCCAACGGGTCGGGTGGTGGGTGCTGGATGGCTTGCGTGAGGTCGTTCCAAGCTGGTGGCTGCCAGCCGGCATTGCACAAGGTTTGAGCTGCCAGGGAGGCGGCCTGGAGTGTTGGCAAGGCATGGGGCTGGTGCTGAAACAAGTGGAGGATGCTGGCGGTGAAGTTTGGCAGTTGCTGGTGCAGGACTGGGAGTGTGTCGGCCCATGAAGCCCAGTAAACAGGTTGTGCTGTGATTGTGGCCGCGAGCAAGCCTAGCCCGCCTTGGGCGAGAGGCAAATGGGCAGTGGCCAAGGCTGTGGCTGGAAAATCCGTAAGGCCCAGGAGGGTCTGCAAACATGCGGCTACGCTGGTGTCATGGCGCAAGGCGAACCCTTGCGTTTCTTGGGGGCAAATGGTGCGGAGGATGTGGTTGCAGCGTGGGCTGGCACAGAAAAGAAGCAGGAGCCAGGAAGACTGCAAATCCTCCAACGCTGGGATGCGTTCGAGGAGACTGTGGTGGCTTGCGGTGGTGAGCTCGAGCTGTTGGGCCACGTACTGGGGGGAGCCAATTGGGGTGCCTAGGATGGTAAGGCCTTGCTGGTTGCTTGGGAGGCTGCGGTCCCCAACCCATACATTGGGTCCCAATGGTCCAAGATTTGGGGGTGTGGTCCCGGCTGCGTTCCAAACGCGGGTCTTCCCACCATTCAGCTGGATGCCGGTGCGGGTGGACAACTCATGGGCCGTGATATCGTAGACTGTGCGGGCACGGTCGGGCATGACGACAGCATAAATGTCATCCAAGAAAGCCAATAGCAATTCTGTGGGGTGGAGTTGGCGTTGGATGGCTTGCAGGGCGCCTTTTTGGCCGAGGGAAAACAATGCCGGCATAAAGGGGTCCCCTTGTTCCCCCCCTTCTGCTTGGGTGATGATGTGGTCGTGGCCTTGGTCGTCGTGCCACACGTACTCCGAAGGCTGGCCATAGAACATCCGCACGAAAGGCAGGCTGCGATTGGCTGCGGGGACTGCCATTAAACCTTGCAACATTGACTCCCTGGAGATTGTGTCGTAGGCACCGATGCCGTCGACTGACACGACTGTGTGGGCTGGGTTTGCTTGTGTGGCTGCTGTGATGGTGTGGATGATTGCTTCTGTTCCTGCCCGGGTGGATAAGGCAAATTGATGTGGTGAGCAGGCCGTGTGGATTGCCTCTGCATAAGTCTGTGCCAAGCTGCGGGAAACTAAACGACGAAGCACGTCTCCAATGATGATCCCGCGGACCCGGCCATTTGGTTTTTGCAATGCCACCATGCGTCCAAGACCGAGGCAGGGGATGATGCTAGGCGGCACGTCCGCCCTTGCTAATGACTCGGCAACTGCTGTGAGCCGTTGCGTCGCTTCTTCGTCGTCCAGGACGAGCCGGAGAGTGTCGCTCGTGAGGCCCGATGGGCCGGGCGCTGCTCCTCGTTTGGATTTCCGGAGGTTGTGGACGATTGTGTGGGCTGGCAATTGGATTGGCTGGTCTGGCTGGAAGTTGCTGACTTCGGGGCTGAGGGGTTGGTATGGCTCTGGTGGCCTGCGGGCTGGGTCGCGCAGTTCTTCCAAGGTGCCGTGTGTGCCTGGGGCGGTGGGCCCCGCTGTTAATGCTTGCCTGGCTGCGGACAATTCCCCCATTTGCACCAGGTGGCGTGCTCGCTGCGCCCTGCGTTGCAGGTCTGGTCCTGTTGGGGCGGGTGCTGGGTTGCCGTCTTCTGGCGCTGGCGTACTTTCTTGGAGCAAGGTAAGCCATTCTCCCGCCTGGAATTGCTCGATGCGGCGGCGCCAGTCTGGCTTGGGTAAGAGGCGCTGGCCGGGCTTGCGTTGGAGGAGCAGACGTGGCAGAAGCAAGAAGAGTTTCCATGCCCGCGTGCTTTCTGTTGCTGTGTTGGCTTGGATGATGCAGGCGCAAGCGAAGGAGAGAGCTTGCCGAACTCGACCCCGTAAGAACTGGGGCGGTTGTTGGAAGAAGAACGTTTTTTGGCGGAGGATGGGTTGGAGCTCCAGGGCGTCGAGGGAAACCAAAGCCCGGCTGAACCGCCGAATGTCCGATGACATGTCTGGGTGGCTCTGGGGTGACTCTTGCGCTGGCGATGGTGTGTTGGGTGCTTCATGGGCTGAGGTGCCGCTGCTGGCGCTCGAGCTTGAGCCTGAGGTGCTGGAACTGGGGCTGCCTGGCGGGTTGGGTTTGCGGCGGGGGTGTTGGCCTGGCTGGTCGGGTGCTGGTGTGGGTATCTCTGCTGCTGATGGCACTGGGCGTGCTGGCTCTGGCACGTGGCGAGAGGCTGGGGCGGCGTTCGTGTTGGCAGTTGCGGTCGTTGAAGCCGACTGGGTTTGCCGCCACTGGTCTGCGAGTAGTGCCGTTCGTGCCGCCAGGCGTTCACCCAGGTAGATCTGCAACAAGGCTTCTTGCGCTGTCGCGGGGATGTATCCCGACGCCTCTGTCATCTGGTTGAGGGCCCACGGCAAGTGGATCAAGGTTGCTGGTGGCAAACGTGCGGCTGCTTGCGCCAATGTGGCAGGGAGACGTGCCTCGGCGGGGCTGAGGCGCCCACCTGTTGCTGCGGCGACGTCTTGTAAAACAACCAGTGTGTGGTGCAACTGTTGCCAGGGCACGGGCTGGGCTTGGCGCAGTTGTTGGACGACGGCATGCCATTCCCGGGTGCTGCGCGGGTCATGTAGCCATGCCTCTTCAGCGTCTTGGGTCAGTCTGCCCGCCCCTGCGTGGAGCAAGGGGACATAAAGCCAACTGTTGGTGGGGCCCGGGTGGTTGTGCTGGGGCGGCCCTTGGTTGTGCCATCGTGCTGTTGCTGACGTCTCTCGCGGCGGCTCTGCGGTGTTGTTGCCCGGTTCGGTTGCAAGTATGCTGGTTGGTGGGCACGGGTGGATGTTCGTGCTGCGGGTGCAAACCCATCCGCGCTCCCCGCAGTGGAGGTCAAGTGCGAGAGTTCTGGTGCCATGGTGGGGGCAGGACGGCGGTGCAGGCACATGTTGCAAAAGCGGGTGCTGTTGGGTCACCGTGGTGTTGCACCGGTGACAAGTCCATTCCGGTATCCATTGGGCTGTCTCGTTCCGAAAGTGTGGCGCCCATTGCATGTGCCGTTCAGAGGTTTCCCGCCATGCTTGTTCCTCGTCCGCATGGGCGGGGTCGGTCAAAAGGAGCCGATTGCAACACAGTGGGAGAATGCCCTGTGGTGGTGCTGGTACCCCATTGGTTCCGCTGGAGGTGTGCGTGCGACTGGCTGGGTCGGTGTGCGTGCGACTGGCTGGGTCTGGGATCAACACGCCATGTGTGGCACAAAGGTCTTGGAACAGGACTTCGGCGTCGGGGCTCCAGGGCCGACGGCATGAAGGGCAAGTCGGGTGATGGTTGTGTGCTCGGAGATTGGCAGCGCAGATGAGGTGCAACATGTGGTGACACCCGGGCCACGTGAAGGTTGGTTCATCTCCGGGGTCTTCCAGGACACGGCCCAAGCAAATGGTGCAGTTTGTCAGCCGAGGCGTGCTTTGTTCGATGCCGTCTGTTGCCTCTGCTGGGCTGGTGAGGTCGATGGGGTTTGGCTCTGCAGCTGCCATGTTGTGGCAAAGGAAGACAAAGGCAAGCCCAAGAAAGCGAAGGCCAAGTCCAAGGCCCGGCGGCAGGCAAAAGTCCACCTAACCTATTGCGGGTTTCGATTTTTGTTGTGGGTTCCCCGCTCCCACGTTTTTTTTTTTTTTTCGGGTTTCTTGTTTCGAGGCCTTTTTTTTTGTGTGGTTTTGGCCCCGGTGAAAAAAGGAGGTGTTTTTATACTGGCCAGCTTCCAGATGTGCCAATGGCGCCACTGTTTTTTAGGTGGTTTCAGGCTCCACCGGAATGCAAAGTCCAAACTACGGGTGACAAAAGCCGTGTTGGATCACCAAGCCAATTTGATGAAACTGAACATCTTGAACAACCACCTTGAAAGGATGTCTGTACCAATTCCTGAAGGCACGTGTGTCCAACAGCAACATGTTTCATATGCATTGACAATCATTGTTATCTTTCAGAGTCTTGTCAGCAGTCTCATTTCAATAGTTAGACAGAGAGAGAAAGCCTTGAGCCAAAATTATGCGGTGATGAAGGGAAAAGGGAAACAACAACAAAAGGGTAAGTTCAAGCCTTCTGCAATCGTCTATGGCATGGATTTGTGGTCCCTCGAGATGGTGTCCGATGATTTTTCAACTTCACATGATGATGCTGGTTTCCACATGTTCCCCATGGAGTTGTTTTCAACGAATGAGAATGTTTCGACTCAAAGGTCTATCCCTCCTGGTCATGGCATGTTGGATTGTGGCGCAACAGCGTCAGCGGGTCCCGAAGCATCAGCCAAGAAGTTGATCAGTTTCCTTTTGCACTATGACCCCAACCTCCAAGTCAGTTTCAACTACCAAAAGCGTCCATATTTTCGATATGGTTCTGGCAAATGGGGTCGTGCTATGTATCATGCGGTCATCCATCCTAGTTGGGATTCTTCACGATGTTTTGAGCTCTACGTGTTGGACAATCCTGCAGAATATGGTCAAGATTGGTTCACTGATGATCTATTGGTTCCCATTTTGGTTGGCATGGACTATTTGCAGAAGACTGGTTTGATTTTGGATTTCACTGATGGTCATGCGGTGAATGGTCATGATGTTAACCCTGAGCCTTACACCATGGAGAAAAACGTCAAGGGTCACTTCATGGTCAACATTGCCCACTATCTCTTCGGCAACCTCTCTGCGACCGAGGCCGGCAACCCAGCTGAATTTGCTGCCAAGAGCCTTGAGCAGGCTTGGACTCCTGGTTACGAGGAGACTTGGGGTGATGATTGGTTTGAGCTGACCATGCTTTCAACTGCTGAGGGTTCTTCACATGATCACATGGGTTCACAACATGACCGTAGAGATCTTTTCAATGGTTTTCTTCAACGACGTTTGCGTTTGAATCATGGTGTTGTTTCTCCAGCTACTGAATCTCAAGTTCAGCAGCCTTCCTCATCTACGGCTTTGACCTCCAATGGCCCCGAAGTTGGCATCTCCTCCACTGGACTTCTCTCGCGAGATCGGTGCGGATCAGAGGGACTATCGAAGTCTCCACACCTCCTGGCCATGTTTCGGCGATCACAGGAGCTCCGTGCCCAGTCCAACGGCTATGCTCAATGGTGCCTGTGCGAGATCTGTGGTCTGAGGGTCTCTTACGTCCCGCGGGAATCCTTCCACGGCAAGCATGCGACTCAGGTGGACCACAAGGCTGTGGAGATGGCCATGAAGCAGCTCGAGATGGATCTTCGTCCCCACACTCTGATGCCCGACAAGGACCTGGCCGAGACCATGATCCAGATCCATGTCAACGAAGCGCAGTTGGAAGCCCAGCACCTGAAGTTGCAGCGTCTTCAAGAACATCAGAAGGCCCTGAGGCGCGAGTATGGGGAGATCTACATGACAACAGGCTGACCAACAAGCCTTCCACGAGCAGCGGTGCCATCCCATCAGTTCCAACGGATGTGTGGCGCTACCTGAGTGCGGACGAGAAGACCAAGTTGCAACAGATTGCCGAGAGCCGCCATCAGGAGGAGGAGAAGATGAAGGAGGATCCGGAGCTGGAACTGGTGCAAGTTCCGAGCCCCACCTTGGGATGAATGATGCTGAGCCTTCGGCATTGCAGTCGCCAACCTTGATCGAGGATGTCACGAAGATGGGCAACCTCTCAATGGCCTATGAAACTGTGGATGCCGAGATGTCTGCCGAGCACTACGGCAACGTTGAGTTGCTTGAATCAGCCCAAGGCTTAGCGGCTGAGATTGAATTCATGATGTGCCCCGAGGATGAAAAGCCTCAACAAAATTTCAAAAATCCTGCAAAGAAAAAATTCAAAAGCTCTCAGAAACAAAAGAAAAAATTGATACTGACGTGCACTATGCAGCCTCTTCGACTTCAGGGGCTACCAGTTTTGAGAGGGATCGCAACTCTGGAGATCAGCGACAAGGTCTCTCATGGAAGATCATCAAGGCCACTTTGGCTTTCCTGGGCATGATGACACTTGCTGCCCAGACTGGTCTTCGAGATTTTCTGCAAGGTGATCAAGTTGACGGCTGGGAGATGTTCTGCTCTCCTGAGAGTTGGCTCACCGCTGCCTGCCGCAGTGAGGGCCTCAAGTTCAGTCGCATCAACTTGGCTCAAGGCTTTGATCTTTACAAGCCAAAAGTCTATGAGGAGCTGAAGAAGAAATACAAGCTGGAGCGTCCTCGAAGGATCTGGGTCTCAACACGTTGCACAGTTTGGTGCCCCTTCACGTCCCTCAATTTTCGGGCGGAAGAGCAGCGTGTTGTCCTGGAACAACGCCGTCGAAAAGAACGAACTATGTTCAAACTTTTGATCCCCTTCCTCTTGGACATTCTTGAGAATGACCCGGCTTGTGAACTTTTTTGGGAATGGCCCCATCGATGCTATGGCTGGGATGAGCCTTGGATTTTGCATCTTCAACATCGGCTACAAGAGCTTGGCAAGTCATGGCATTCCGCCAGAATTGACGGCTGCCGCTATGGGCTCCGTTCTGCCTCCGGCGGATTCTTGCGGAAGTCTTGGAGGATTGGCATTACCTCCGAAAGCTTCTACCACTTCTACAAGTTGAAGACCTGCCAAGGATGCCATGATCATGATCAAATCCAAGGACTTGAAACTCAACGCTCAGCGTTTTACCCATGGAAGCTTTGCAAGTCCATTGCGCAACGATGGCGCCAAGAACTTTTCCTTGACAAATGGCTTTCATTTCTTCAAGCTCCTGTGCCAACAATGGTGGAACCTGATGAGCAGCTTCGACTTCTAGGACTGATGGATGGGGCCTTGGACTTATGCCCGGCAATGGACTTATGCCCAGGGATGGATTTGGACTTATTCCCTGCATCTTCATCAGCTCTTGCTGTTCCTTGCACCAAAGAAGTCGAGCAATGGAAAATCCAGTTGCTGAAGTACCATCGGTCAGCTGGCCATCCGAGCAACTTCAACCTGGCACGCATTTTGCGTGATGCGGGACGTCCACAATGGCAAGTCAAAGTTGCCCTTGCTCTTCGTTGCGAAGACTGTGCTGCGCTGAAAATGGGAGGCTCTTCAAGCGGACAAGTGCCTCCGGCCTCTATGAGACCTATGCCACGAGCCTGGGAATGCGTTGGCATGGATTGCACGGAGTGGACGCCACCGCATGAGAATCAAAAATGCACTGTATTGGTGTTGATGGATTTGGCCACAAAATTCAAGGTCACCAAGATTTTGATGAAGTGTGGTTTGTCAGAACAAAAGGCCGAGACCACTGAACAGCTCCTGGAGGCATTCACTCAACTCTGGCTTCAAGACAAGCCGAGGCCTGTGTACCTCATCCCGGACAATGCCAAGTCCATGATCTCTATGCGAATGCGTGAGGTGCTCTCTGACTTCAACATTGTTTTGGACCCACCAGCACCGAAGGAAAGCTGGGCACATGGACTCCTTGAACGTGCTGTTCAAGAGGTCAAAGAGGTAGCTTCCAAGATCAGGTTGTCCAACACTGACTTGACCCCTGAAACTGTTTTGGCCCTGGCAACTCATGCGCTCAACTCCACTGAATATGTGCAGGGCTACACACCGTTTCAATGGGTCTATGGAGCTCAACCTACTTTGACTGATGAAGACATCGCCAGCTTTAGCCTTTCACCTGATGATGCTGCCGGGTTGAACTATGGTGCCCTTCTCAAAAAGCGTCAAGAAGCTGAGAATGTTGCCTGCTATGTGAAGGCGATGCGCACCATCAACAAGATCAAGAACTCCAAGGTGCGACAACCACTTCAAACTTTTCACCCAATGGATTTGGTGAAAATCTGGAGGAAATATACCTCTCCAGTTGGTCCTCGTGGTGGTTTGAAGAAGACTGCTCGTCCGCAGTGGTTGGGGCCTGGTCGCGTGGTTTTTCACGAGGCCATCAATGGACAACGCCCTGAAGATCCACGCCGTCACATAGTGTGGGTAGTTGTTGGTGGCACCATGCACAGATGTTCAGTTCATAGTGTTCGCAAGGTCACTACTCAAGAACGTTTGGACTTTGAGCTGCATTCTGGTGAAGGCCCCAGTCATTGGAAGTCTTTGGCAAACTACATTCCTCAACGATCCTTTGTAGATTGTGTCCCTGAAGAGCCTGGTGAAGATGAAGAAGATTTGCCTCAACTTCCAAGTGATCCCAGCACAACAGCTCTCCCTGGTCCAAAACCGATGATGCGGCATTTCTACAAGCATCCTGTTCGGAGGGTGACTTTTGCACAACCTCCTGCTGCAGAAGCTCAACCTGTGAACTCCTATGATCCTTCTTTTGCTGCAACTCCTGATGATGATGATGAACACCTTGGCAACACTGGCCTCGGTAGCGGCATCCCAACCTTGGAAGAACGATCAGGTAGTTCAAAATCAAGACTTCTGCCTAGCGAGTCAGCTGCAGCCTCTTCTGAGCCTGAGTCCAAGAAGGCTCGCGTTGATGAGGATGGCCTGTTGCTATCGTATTTGGAGGTGGTTGATGAGTGCTATGTGCTTGAGTTTGACCTGGTCCTTGAAAATGACCACCAGCAAAAACGACTTCTGGAAAACCCCAGTATGTTTCTTGCTCAGAAAATGCGAGATTGTGAAGTGCGGTTGGAAAAACTTACACCAGCCCATCGTGAACTCTTCAAAAGAGCCAAGGCGAAGGAAGTCAACAGTTTTCTTTCCAATCAAGCTGTTCGACGTTGCGCTGATAGTTTGGAGGAGGAGACTGCTCGAAACAGTGGCCGTTTGATGCGCTGCCGTTGGGTTCTGACTTGGAAGCCAACACCTGAGGAATCTATGACCGAAGCCCTACAAGAGCTGCAGAAGAAACCTCAGGAAACCACCTTGACTGGCGATGGCAAAAAGAAGGCGAAAGCAAGGATTGTCTTGCTTGGTTTTGAGCATCCAGATCTTCTTTCAGCTGGTCATCAAATTGCAAGTCCTGTTCAAGCAGTTCTCACTCGAAATTTGAGCTATCAGTTTGTTCTTCAAGAAGGCTGGGAGATTGAGGGGTTGGACTTAGCCACAGCGTTTCTTCAGACGCTGCCCACAGAAGAGTCCAAGCAATTGTGGACAACTGGAGTCAAGGAACTTCGTGATGCTCTCAATTTGCCTGAGCATGGCATCATGAGAATCCTCAAAGACTTCTATGGCTCACAGACTGCGCCACGAAACCTCTGGCGCAACATCAATGAGTCCATGATCAAGCTTGGAGCCCTTCGAATCATTGGAGATGGTTGCTTTTGGCTCTGGCGAGTCCCTGCTGATCCTGCCAAAGTTCCACCCCATGATCCCAAAGATGAAGAATCCTTCTGTTGGAAAACCTTGGGATTCATGGCTGGCCATGTGGATGATTTTCACAGGGCAGGCGATGTCTCTGATGAACGCTGGCTGAAAATACGTGCTTCCATCGACTCCATGTACAAGTGGGGGCAATTGAAGAAGAATGAGTACAGACATGCTGGAACAGATCTTTCAATGAAGACCGATCCAATCTATGGCAGATGTTTGGTGGTTAATCAATCTTACTACATTGAGATGTTGGAAGGTGTGCAGATTGACCCTCAAAGATTCTCTATGTCCTCTTCCTTGATGACTCCGAAAGAGACCTCCGCTTGCCGAGCGGCGATTGGTGCTCTTCAATGGGTTGCTGTGCAGACTCAGCCTTTAGCATGTGCTCGCTGCAATTTGTTTCTCTCCGAGCTGGCCCAGCAGCTAACTATGCAACTGGCCCGAGAACTGCAAGAGCTCATTCGGGAACTCAGAAAATCCAGCACTGTTTTGAAGTTTTTCCGTTTGCCCAAATGAACCATTGGTCACAAATCGTAGTTGTAGGTTTAGGAAATCAAGCCCACCAAAACAGACCCAAAGGGGGTAGCACAGGTGGTCTTTTGATTTTCTTGAGCAACAGGGATTTTAACTGTTGGCCTACCAGCTCCCATGATCTTAGTCACTTGGAAGACCTGGAAGCTGAAACGTGTCAGCATCGGCACAAAAAACGCCGAAGTACAGAGCCTGGTGGAAACCGAAGATGTCTTTTTTAGAACCCGCATGTTGTGGGCAGCCATCAATTCTGCTGCCACTGTAGGAACAGGTTCCAGAGCCGATTTGCTGGAAGTTTCCGAAAAGGAAGTGCGTCTAGTCCCTGGTATTCTAGGCACTGACAGCAAGGGTGGATATGATAGCATCATGGTGAACGAAAGCCCTATGCTTGGTCTTTCCAACACAAGGTCAGCCATCCAAGCGTTTCAACTCAAAGAGTCCATTCCACGTTGTTTGACCAATTTGCTTTGGCTGGCTAATGATTGGAATCTTGCAGACTCCATGACAAAGAAGAAACCGGAATGTCGCAAATCCATGGAGTATTTTTTTCAAAAGCAAGTCTGGATGCTGAAGTTTGATCCCAGCTTCATCCAGTCATCTCGCAAGGAGAACGCCGCCAAAGGCTCTCCAATTAAACAAATGCAACAATGGCACGGGACGAAGAACTCAGAAGAAATTTGTGGTGATGCAGTTGATCTGATTTCTCACCGTTGTGCAGGTATGAGTTCTTCGACCACACCGCCATCCTTTGGTCCAAAACAGAGGGCCCTCTTGTAGTGCCGACATGTGTGCTGCGCCATGAAAAGGACTTGAGCTGTCCGCTTTGATCTGTGTCTTAGAGAAGACATTTACGTGGTGTGTGTGTTTCGATTATCCTTTACTATTTGCCTGCGACTGGTAGCAACGGATTGGACGATTCTTGGCTGAACTGGCGTTGGAACCTGAACATCATTCAAGGTACCTGCAGCGTGTCAATAATGTTTTCCTTCTCCCATTGACTCGGACAGGAGTTCGTGCGTGCGTGCGTGGGCGCGGCTGTAGCTGTAGGCTGTGTTGCAGTTGTAATTATACATGTCGCTGGTCTGGAAGCGTTAGCTGTATTGGTAGTTGTGGTTGTAGCTGTCGGTATCTGTCGGTGGTTGTTTTTCAATTGTAATTATGGATGTGGCTGCCTTTGGTGCTGTGGCCGTAGCTGCCATTGGTGTTGTACCTGTAGCCGCACCGGTAACTGTAGCTGTAGTTTGCGTTGTGCCTATTAGCTTTGCGTGGTGTATTGCCCGTATCAGTAAAATGTAGGCGTAGTCGGTTGCGTAAAAATAATTGTAGCATGCTGTAGCTGTCGGTCGGGTTATAGCGGTAGCTCTAGGGTTACTTCTATTTGTGGGCGCAATTGGTGTTGTAGCGGGTACTTGTCCCTGGTGTTGCAACTGTAGCTGTAGTTGGTGTCGCGGCTGTAGCTGTAACTGCGGTTCTGAAAAATAGATGGCACTGTGAATGTGGTGGATGTTGTAGCTGTAGCTGTAGCCGGCATTCGCACCCGTCCGACAAACAGTCGTGTAATTTTCCACTGTCTGTGTTTTCAAATCATTTGATTTTGTTTTGACACGCGTCATGGCATGTTTGGACATGGTGAGCGGAACTTCGTAAAATGGTTTTTTTCCCGGTCGGATATAAAAATATTAGTCCGTCTTAATAGCTGTAGCAAGCCAAAAATTGAACGAAGGTTGTTTTGAGTGTTTTCCTTCGTGCACAAAATCGCGTTTTTCGCTGCTTTCCATCGTGCATTGCTCTCCTTTGCCCGAATATCGCACTGAGCTGCGCGGCGGGTGGCGTGCTCTAGATCGTCTTTTTTTTTTTGGTGCCCTCCTTCGTGCACAAAATCGTTTTTTTTTGTGCACTCCTTCGTGCCACAAACCGTATTTTTTGGTGCTTTCCCTCGTGCCAAACGTCGTGCTCTAGATCGTGTTTTTTGGTGCCCTCCTTGGTGCCAAAAATCGTGCTCTAGATTGTACCCGCCGTTACAACTATTAGGTTTGTGCCAAATTATGATGATAAAGCTTTCGTAACCTTTTGATGACGGTATGTTTTTGACATGACCGTAATTTTTATTACACGTTCATGATGGTAGGTTTGGACATCATGATTCGAGTTTTTGAACACGCTCACAATGGTTTAAGAATCATAGGTTGGTTTTCGCAACACTTTGATGATGGTATGTTTTTGGTTACACGGATGTTTGGCCTCAATGATAAAAAAATGCATGCTTATCCTTGGTGCACGTCTCTACTTGGATGTTGTTGAACATGGGAATGAATTCAATGTTGAATTAGTGATAAAGGGATGTTGGAACAGATCCTCTAGGGTGTTTCGGGGGGGTGGGGGTGATAACGTTCTTGAAAGTACGCTCTTGGTGGTTCATGCACATCCCGGCGGAAGGGAAACCGCGCGAGCGTTTTGATTGGTTGCTTCCAGGAGAGTCACAATCACCTGTAATTTACAATATAAAATGCTCCTCCGATCAGTTTGGATAACTGAATTTGGGTTTAAAAAAGTGGATGCAAAATCTATTGATTTTTAACAAATCCAGGTAAACATCATGTGCATCAGACGTGGATGCGCAGATTTTTTTTCACACTCTTCGTCGGCTCAGCGATCCATCAGTGTGGAAGCTGTCAACCTATGCATCACTACCGCACCCAAACCCATACGCAGCGCAGCAACATGTAACGTAGGAAACTATCTCAGAGATATCAGCACATACCAGCAGCGTAGCAACATGTACCTTAGTAAACGATCTCGGAGATACCAACCGCGTAGCAACCTGTAAAGTAGTAAACGATCACAGAGATCTCAGCAGCGTAGCAACATGTCACGTAGTAAAAGATCCCAGAGATCTCAGCAGCGTAGCAACATGTAACGTAGGAAACTATCTCAGAGATACCAACAGCGTAGCAACATGTAACGTAGGAAACTATCTCAGAGATACCAGCAGCGTAGCAACATGTAACGTAGGAAACTATCTCAGAGATACCAGCAGCGTAGCAACATGTAACGTAGTAAAAGATCCCAGAGATCTTAGCAACATCGCAATATATCCTGTACGAAGTACAAGGAACGTTAACATGCCCCCCACCCCACCCCACCCCAACCCCAACCCACACTAACATGGCAATATATCCTGTACGAAGTACGAGGAACGTTAACATGCCCCCCCACCCCAACCCACACTAGACATCTCAGCAGTGTAGCAACACGTAACGTAGTAAAAGATCCCAGAGATCTTAGCAGCATGGCAATATATCATGTACGAAGTACAAGGAACGTTAACATGCCCCCCCCACCCCACGCCACCCCAACCCCAAGACAAAGAGCAATACTCAAAAAAAAAGCAAAACGCACGTACGGTTTTCTGGCCGTAGGCATGCACATGAAGCGACATAGGTGTTGCTACGCTGCGTACCTCTTCGTGGTAGATGAATTGATATTTCTGTTGTTACGTTCATCATAATTCATGCGCATGAAATGACATAGGTGTTGCTACGCAGTGCACCCTTCGTGGCACATGGCATGTTTCCGAAAAGGTGGGTAGATGATGGTAGATGCTGCATCAATGGGTTTGGTGTCAAACGCTTCCAGCACGCACTCAAGCGTTTTTTTCTGCAAAATTTCAATTTTTAGTCATTGAGGTGACAAAATGTTCCCGAAAAATCGATTTTAAATTAATATTATGTTTGGGTGTCTGCACAGTGAACGTGTTGATTCCCAAGGAAACGCCGTGGAAACTCGTAAGTCACATTGATGATGCATTAAAATCAAACATCGGAAATTTACAAAAACGCAATCCACAAACCTCACATGATCAGAATTTGGATGATACAAAGAACTTGAAATTTAGAAAAAAAATCTGGCAGTATCTGGCAGTGTGTCAAAACCTTGTACCACTGGTGAACATCAAAATAGCTGGTAAATGGATGTTCATCCCCCTAAAAATCGTATGTATAGGTATTGATCCATAGCCTACATAGCCATCTGGGAAATGAAACTGTGAATCAAACACACGTTGAAAAGTCGCCGACAACCCAATCGCAATTCCACGCGGCCGGCTCTGGGACGGGACTGTGGTTGCTGTTGTAGCTGTAGGTGGTGTTGTATCAGTAGCTGTAGCTGTAGCCGAGCTAGTGTAGTAGCTGTAGCTGTAGCTATAGTTGGTGAATGTAGCTGTACCTGTAGCTGTAGATGTAGCTGTACCTGTAGTTGTAGCTGCTGTTGGTTTTGTGGCGGCAGCTGTAGCTGTAGCCGTAGCTGTAATTCAAATTGTGGTTCTACCTGAAATTGGTGTTTTAGTTGTATCTGTAGCTGGTGTGGTAGTTGTAGCTGTAGCTCTAGTTCAGGTTGACCCTGTAGTTGTAACTGTGGCTGTAGCTGGTGTAGCTGTAGCTGTAACTGTAGCCGTACCTGCAGCTGAAATTGTTGCTGCGGCTGTAACTGTAGATGTAGCTGTAGCTGTAATTGGTGTTGTAGCTGTAGCTGTTGTTGTATCTGTAGCTGTAGCAGTAGCTGTGGTAACTGTAGCAGTAACTGTAGCTGTAGCCGTAGCTGTAGCCTGTAGCCTGTAGTTTGTAGCCTGTAGCCTGTAGGCGGTAACTGTAGCTGTAACTGTTGCCGTAGTTGTAGCTGCAGTTGGTGTTTGTAGCTGTGGCTGGTTTTGTAGCTGGGGCTGAAGCTGTAGCTGTAGCTGTTACAGCTGTAGCTGTAACATTCTGTAACATGCTGTAACACGCTGTAACTGAAGCCTGTAGCCTGCAGCCTGCAGCCTGCAGCTGTAACTGTAGTTTGTAGCCTGTAGTTTGTAGCCTGTAGCTTGTAGCTGTAGCTGTAACTGTAACCGCAGCTATAACTGTACCTGGAACTGAAACTGTAGGTGCAGCTGCAGCTGTAGCTATAGCCTGTCGGCTGTAGCCTGTTGCCTGTTGCCTGTAGCCTTTGGCTGTAGCTGTGGCTGTAACTGTAGCTGTACGCTGTAGCTGTAGCTGTAACTGTAGCTGTAACTGTAACTGTAGCCTGTAGCCTGTAGCCTGTAGCTGTAGCTGTAACTGTAACTGCAACTGTAGCTGTAACTGTAGCTGTAACTGTAGCTGTAACTGTAGCTGTAACTGTAGCCTGTTGCCTGTAGCCTGTAGCCTTTGGCTGTAGCTGTGGCTGTAACTGTAGCTGTACGCTGTACGCTGTAGCTGTAACTGTAGCTGTAACTGTAGCTTGTAGCCTGTAGCCTGTAGCTGTAGCTGTAACTGTAACTGCAACTGTAGCTGTAACTGTAGCTGTAACTGTAGCTGTAACTGTAGCTGTAACTGTAGCCTGTAGCCTGTAGCCTGTAGCCTGTAGCCTGTAGCCTGTAGCCTGTAGCCTGTAGCCTGTAGCTGTAACTGCAACTGTAGCTGTAACTATAGCTGCAACTGTAGCTGTAGCTGTAGCTGTAGCCTCGAGTTGTAGTTGCAGTTGTAGTCGTTGTTTAGGTTGACGCCATCAGCCATCAGCCTCGCATTCAACGTCCCCGTCGCTGCCGTGGTGCTGCTACTGTTGGTTTGGCGGTTGGTGGTTCTGATGGCGCGGTATAATTATTTGATATCGCAGGTGT